GAACTTGCTCGACCTTCTCTTCTGATGCTGATGTTGGTACCAGATCCTTTAGCCTTTCATAAGCAGTTGAACTCTTTACTAGGGATGTCCCGATCAAATTTTTTGCCCCCGAGTCCGAGACATTTGATTTTGAGTATCTGCCGATACCGAGTCCCGATCCGATACTTCTATAAAACATTAAGAAATGAACTAAGAGCAAAGAAAAAGATACAGGATGTTTGGGGGATCAGATTGTGTTGATTTCTACGTTTAGTATTTGGGCTGAACTTAGTGTGAAAAATCAAATGTCCAAAACTTAAGTTTTTTTAATTAACTTTTCTAACCATGCACCATCATTGTTGAAAATCTTGACTTTTCACAGTCTGGTCTTGGAATGTGTAACTTAGTAAACTTAATGAACTGGACAAAACAGAAACCAGACCAGAATCAGATCAGACCTGAGACTCGACTCTGCACAGTCTACACTTTGTATATTTGATATTATATATTTGTATGTGTTTTACATTTGAAACATTTAGACTCGTCTATGAAATCCAAATAATACAAAATCTTACCAAATAAGCACGAGATGACAGAAACCCCACAGTCTCTCTCCTCCGCACCGCCACCACATCCACAAACTCACAGTGGTGCGCACCACAACATTGGTCCCACCGCTCAATAGACGCTTCATGCCGCTGGACGGACCCTCACCGCCAAAAGCGCCAGCTCCACTGTGCAACAGCACTGTTTGTTGAAATCAAAACAAATTGCGATGTGATAATTCCATCGGCTGCGCAGGTGTGAACACGGGCCACAGAACCACAGGTAACAGCGCCCGAGCACGACACGGCCCAAAAGTCCCAGCGCCTTTAGTACAATAGGTGCTGGGACAGACATTCGTGCTGACTAGATGTCCCTGAGCAAATCCCGCACCTCAGAAAAACTGTTGTGTGCTCTGTGTGTCCTGTGTGTTATATATGTATATTATTTATCCAATACCTGATCAGTACATAATGCCCTAGTCCAGATCAAGTCAGCAATCATGTGAGCGGCGCTGATTTCCGATCACGTGATCGGATCGGGACAACCCTAATCTTTACATTTCTGGTGCAAAATTTGTTGCCAGTTGGTGAAGTTTTTCCAAATGTTGCACTGAAAGCTGCACAGTCTTGGGTGAGTGAGTGCAGCAGATTCCAAGACGCAAAATGATTTCTCTTTAGGAGTGAACAGCTCAACCTGAAAACAGAACAAAAATCAAACATTCACTATACAATCTTGATGTGTTTCTATACATTCTGTGAATATTTGAGGTTATTTCAACAAGAACTGGCAAAATTATTGGCCTGCGAAATGATGTCAAATTCTTTGGGACACCATGTATACAGACATTTTTATTATTATCCACTCAACAGACCGGGTATCTTGGCTACTGTTGCTCTCCTCTAATGTTCCACTGTATGGCTTTAACACATCTATTTCTACGGAGATGAGTCTGAACTGTGCTCCAGACCACACGCGTTTACTGACAGAGGATTGGCTGTAAACTCGCCCATAAAAAGCCCCACGCTGATCGTTAAAACAAAGCATCAGAGTGACGAAATAAACAAAGGAACAGACTATTGGGAGTTATCATATCATAAACAGAACTAGCTCAATAATATGATACCGCACACTTCCTGATTCTTGGATGATAAAACTTTTTCTAATTAGATGAGACGGGACACAACGTAAAACTACTGTGATGTCAACTGAAACATCCCCGTCCAAATTCCCATACTCTGAGCTCTGCCACCCGTCCTCCTTATCCCTCCCTCTCTCCCTATGCCCCCCTCCACCCCTTTTTCCCTATTCTCTCCCCCTCCTCCTGGTCCCTCTCTCTCTCTCCTGGATGTATGGATGTCTCAGGCCAGTGCCCAGCCCCATCGGCCCGTGGGGAGTGGCTCTTCTTAGGCCTCGTGTCAGCACATCTCCTCGTGTGATCGATGACTCCACTTGTGCTTGTCTTCCTGTAACAGCTTTAAGCTCGGCCCCAGGTTTTAAGCTTCAGCGTAGGCTCTGAATAAACTCTGAAACAGGGCTACTGGGCCATGTGACAAAAGAATGATCACTTTTGTTCCTTCAAATTGATTTGTCACCATTTTTGTTTTTGTCTTATTAAAGTTGCACTGCGTAACTTTACTGGTAGAGGGTGTATGAAGATATTATTTATTTGGGCAGGAATGCTCGACTACAGTATAGACTCTATTCACGCTTACATCACAAACCAGGAAGATGTTGGGATGTGAAATATGTTATGATAACTTCAGGCAGGCTCTGTTCTTGGAAAAATTTGAAAATGTTCCAGTTTTCTTCATCTCCATGTCATTGTAGTGTTCCATTATGTTCGGCGAATCAAGAAATCCAACCACACCTCAGTTTTCATCATTTCCACAATGACACACAACTCCGAGTGCACTGGGAACATGTGATTAGAAGAGACGAAGCGCCAAATTCCAGATGATTCCAAACAGCACATATGTCTGTAGTCTTCAACGTTTTCATTGGTCTCATGGTTTGGGAGCATTTCTGCTAAAAAAAAGAACTCCCTGAATCAGTTGGTTAAATGGGCGAGTGAGGTGATTGTTCATCCTCAGAGCCGCCTGGACTCTCTTTACTCGAGACAGTTACAGAGGATGTCCCAGAGGATTTTAAGAGAAATGCAACATCCACTAAACTCAGAGTTTCAGCTGCTTCCCTCTGGTCAGAGGCTTTTAGTCCCAAAATCTAGAATGAATCATTTTTAAAAGGAGCTTTGTTCCGGCTGCTATCGTACTTATGAATAAATTGTCATCTATTTATCTAAGATTGTGTGTATTTCACATATTTAATATTTATTGTGATTTCAGCTAAGTGTGATGGATGAATTTAACTAATTGTTTATAGAACAAACCATTCTGCACTGGAGCTCTGTAACACTTTATTTTGTAATTGTGTTTTTATATGTGTTTTTGCACATAATGTGGATGAATGAAATGTGGGACCTGGGACCTCTCAAATCTGCAAAGCAAATTTACCTACGAGAACAAATAAAGCAACCTAACCTAACCTTCAATTTACCACTGATCACATTCACTTCAGTGGGTTTGATCACAGTCGGTCGGTGAGTCCAGTGTTGTGAACTACACCAGAAGTTGTCATCACATCTTTCCAAATGTCTTCCTGGTTTGCAATAAAATTGTCACCAACCCAAATTACACATCAAATCTGTGAAGAGGCGTAACCTGTAACAGTATAAATGCATGTTTCTATGGTGTTTTTTCAATTAAAAGACATGTCACGAAATAAATGCTAAATCAGACCTGGGCATTGTCCAGCTCCCGGGTCACATACAGACATTTGTCTGACTCTGATCGGCCTGTTTAAGCTCATTTGGAATTACAAAATAAACATATTTTATCATTTGACCTCATTCATGGACTAAAGCTGCATTATTTTATTTTAGAAGTGTTTTTAAATGACATTTTTTGTAAGACAACCTCACTTTTTCTTTGCTTCATCAGAACATAAAGTCTTATCAGTCTGATCAGCTCATCAAAACAATGCTACTTACTGCTTTTATAAAGAAATATAATTTATATGAGTGAAGCATTTTGGCCTCCACAATATTTTCAGTTTCTCATGTGGCCCCATGGAAAAAAGAATCGCCCAGTCCTGTGCTAGAGAGATGTTTGATGTAACATTCCAGGCAAAGCAGTAACTCCATGGGGATAAGCAAGACATTTTTAATTATCTGAACATAACATAGAGGCTTTTAATCATTGCCATTTAACACAAAACATAGTTACATTTCTTACTCCGAAGTCTTGGGTCTGCTCCAAACCACATTCTTTCACTGACGTCATGAGGATTGGCTGGAGACTTCTCCATTAGAAAGACCCACACTGATTATTGAACAAAATAGACAATTCTTCTTCTATTTCCATTGTAACTTCACCAGTGTGTTTAAAATAACACTGACTGGGGAACTTTTGACTTCTGACGATCGTTACTGTAAATTGTCATGTAATAATGCTATTTCTTCATCACCCACAGACCTGTAGTTGTGTTTTGTTTCATTCACATTTTTAACTCACAAACCCTACACATTTAGATGGAGTTCTTCTCTCAAACAGAAAACACCCCTTCTGATGTCATGTGGTAATGCAGGACTGTGTTTTTAAACTCCATACACCTTCACTAGGATTATTTGGATGATTCAGCCCTGGAATTTCCCATTTCTACTATGCAAAATGTAAAAGGTGCCATTAACTTGAAAACTATCGCTTCATGACATCACAAGGTGGAACAGAGCATTTTGAGTGTTTGAGATGTAGACAGACTAAAAGGTTACGCAAACATGTGTGAATGAAACAAAACACAACTGCAGGTCTGCTTTTGAAAAGATAACAACATTGTAACATGACTTAACGCTCACAGCAGCTATTTTTGTGTAGTATAGAACCTTTAATAAAAAGGCCAGGTACAAAATAGAACAACAACATCAGAGCAGTAAACAATGGATAAAATTTATTTTGTTTTGGTCGACCTGGTGACTAAAAAATTTGCATAAACCTTTACATAAACACTTTACTATGAAGAGGACACTGCACAAAGTACAACTGCACTGTTCTCTTTTCCACTTTGTCATAAAACTGGTCAAATCACATCATTCAGGAAAAATAATCCAAATCAACCCCATGTGTTAATGGCCCAAAATATATCTGATGTTGATTTCTTTGGATTCTAAAAAAATGGTGTCGACACTGGTGTTGAAAAAAATATTTCTGTCTATCTCTATCAGTATGCGCTGTCCTAATATAATCAAATAAATAAGATGTATTGAGCATCCCTAGAATTGCAAACTGTTGTGACACTAAGTTGAAAGCTCTTCATTGTACCATCTGATCTACCAGTGGATTTAGATCAGACTTTCATATACCAGACCCACTGATGTCCATGTTTAACACTGTCTAACTGTCTGTTTTTGTCTCTCTCCACAGACATTTATAGTCCTAAACAAAGGGAAAACAATCTTCCGCTTCAGTGCCACGCCCTCCTTGTACATCATAAGCCCTTTTAATCTTCTAAGACGCATAGCTATTAAGATTTTGATACACTCATATCCTTTCACGTGGACAGCTGATGTGACTGTTCTACAAGTGACCAGATTTTACTTTTTATGTTGAAATGCACAGGTTATGAAATGTATCTTATCTTATGAACTGTCTCCCTGATTTCCTGTGACATGATTGATAGGCGGATTGACCAATTGGAGAAGGCACCATTCATGTCAAAACAAACCTGGTGGCTTACAAGTAAAAAAGCAAAAGAAGTTAAAGATTTTGTTCTAAATGGTACCACAGTATAGATGCATCAAGAATCTCGGACTTTGGGTCATTGTGCAATGCATACTGGGAAGGATTTTCCGAAAAACTGAGCATCAAACTGTGTTGTTTGTCTTTTGACAAAGCCGATCTTTTCAAGTCTTTTGAACCATATCACTTTTGTTTCTGGTTCTGATATTGTCATATTTTAGTTTTGGGATTCGGACATTGTACATGGTTGGACATGGTTCTTGGATCCTAACTGTGGAAAACAACTCGACAAATTTGTTTGCGAATTTCATAACTGCAAAAGCGAATCAGATGTGTGTGACTGTAAACCTCCGTTCAAACTGTTTCTCTTCCCAACGAAATTGAAAAATAGGATTGATCCACAGGAAGGACCAAAAAGGAAACCTTTAACTGCCTAAATCATCCCAAGTTTGCAGCGAGAGGTACAGAAGACAAACAGACTGAGCTGCACTTTCTTGTTCTTGTGGTTTTACAGCAACATCACGTCTTGGTCTCTTTGCAGTGGAAGGTGTTTCTTGGTGAACAGCTGGTGCCTTTCGCTTTTGGCATTGACTTTTTAGATTTATAACCAAAGCTGAGTGAGGGATTGGGATTTTGCTTTGTTGGCGCTCCACATACAAAATGTTCGCTGCAAACTCGGGATGATTTAGGCAGACAGAGGTTTCCTTTTTTCATCCTTCCTGTGGATCAATCTTGCCCATTGCGTTCGCCTTCCTCTAATTTTCAGTTCCATTGGGATGGGAAGCAGTTTCAACAGAGGTTTGCAGTCACACACATCTGATTCCCTTTTGCAGTTATGAAGTTCACAAACAAATTTCTCAAGCTATTTTCTGCTGTTAGAACATCCAACAACCACACAATTACAATGTCCGAATCCCAAAACTAAAATATGACAATATCAGAACCAGAAACAAAAGTGATATGGTTCAAAAGACTAGAAAAGATAGGCTTTGTCAATAGACACATCCCACTGGGAAAACAAACATGGCGGTTTGATGCTCACGTTTTTGGAAAATCCTTCCCGGTATAGATTGCACAATGACCGGAAGTCTGAGATTTGTGATGCATCTATTGGAGAGGACATGTCTCCCACATTAGAGACACATGGTACAAACTATCGGCTGTGATTGGACTGTCCCAAATAAGGGGACTTGTTTGACTCACTTTATGGAAAGGACGAGGGACTGATTCCACCAGGCAAAGAGAAGACACTTTATATCGTCCACTAAACAATGTCTTGCTGGGTTCCACTTACAGGAGACTGAAATGTTATCGTTGCTTCCCCTTCTCATTTCCCATCTTGAAGTTGTATTTAGATATTTAGAGTGATTCGTGTTTGAGTGAGCTTTATACGCCCACTGTGACATGTGCGTTGCCATTTTGTCAATTTTTATTTTTTAAATAAATCAGTTGCTTGCGAGGCCCATCAATAGAAGAGGCCGACACCATGCAGCTTATTGTTGTGATGACATCAGCTCCTTTTGGGCACCGCAGTTTCAGTGAACTTGTTTCTTTTATGAAGCCATTTTAGACCAATAATGTGATTTAAAATGTGCAAAATATAATGATCCACGGGTGTCATAGATGATAAATATAGTAGACACAAACACAATATGTCTACTTTATACTTAATTGAAATGATAAAATCTGGTCACCTAGCCTGTAGAAATGTGGATGTGTATGGTTTGTGATCTTATTTTGTATTTTGAATGTGTTTTGTTTGATCAGATATTTTCCTTAACCTTTGTCTCCACATTATTCAGCATGATCATCATGTGCACCATTTTGACCAACTGTATTTTCATGACCTTTAGTGACCCTCCTGAGTGGTCCAAGCAAGTAGAGTAAGTACACACAGCAGAATCTCACGAAATCACACAATGTTTTTTTAGATATGAATCATAAGAAGTGTAGATATGCACACATGACTGGTGTTAGGCTCCTACAGTGAACATGAAGACAAACAAGACCAAGCCTGCACTCTCACTTCAAACTGTATTTAACGAGGGACTTTTCCATAAGTCAAGTTTGGATATGAACACAAACATTTTTAGATTATACATTTTTGGAGCCTACAAAATTGAAGAAAACATTTATTGCTTGAGATTTCAACCCTGGAAAATGTAAATGTTTTAAAATCACTTGATGTTATTAGTTATATTATCGTCTACTTATTTTGTTGATGACAGACACTCTTTTGGTTTCAGTACTGTTGTTGTTTTTTTTGCATATTTGTAACATTGTGTTTGTGTCTGTAAAGGTACACCTTCACAGGGATCTATACGTTTGAGTCGCTCACTAAAATCGTGGCTCGAGGTTTTGCGATAGATGACTTCACTTTCCTCAGAGACCCCTGGAACTGGCTGGACTTCATGGTCATTTCTATGGCGTAAGTATTTAGATTCATGAAATATAACATTAGAATACTTTTTTACTCTTAATCTTCTGGTCTCAGCTCCTGTTTTATTTACTCACAATACACAGTCTATTCCAAATTTGCCTCTCCCTTCCTCTTGAGAGCTCTTTAGTACACCCACACCAGCACTGGAAAGAAGAGTTTGTTCTTAATGTCTTACCTGGTCAAGTAGAAGTTAATTACTAAAAGAAGTAGAGTACTAAAATCAAATCTGAAGTTGGTTCATAATCATACTACTTTTACTATCAAAATGGTACATTCCTCAGAAGCATCTGAAAAGACAGTTCATGAAAACATTTGTGGAGGGCAGATTTGAGGCCAATAGTAGTGTGTCTCTCAAATTTTTCACAACAAGTAAATACCAAATAAAAAAATACATGGCTTTCCAAGTACCACCAGATCTAAACCAGGTCTATAACAGGACTACTCCAGTAACTGATCATATGCATATCATAACATTAATATCAATTCATTTGATGAACTACACAGCCACTCCAAATATCAAATGCTTTAACCATATGATTTCCTTCCTTTTGCTTTGTTATTCTTAGAATAGAATAGAAAATTGGTCTTTTGCTGGTTCATAGTTTGACCTCTGTGTTTTCCTCCTCAGATACATCACAGAGTTTGTGGACTTGGGAAATGTGTCAGCGCTGAGGACGTTCAGGGTGCTCCGAGCTCTCAAAACTATTTCTGTCATTCCAGGTGAGGCTCCATATGTTCTGTGCCTGTTTACATGTTTGGAGGAGGAAGAGGAGGAGGAGCTCTCAGCTAAACTAAATAATAACAGCAGATAATTAGCTGGTGAACAAATTACTTCTAAATGTGTAGCATCATTCATTTGTTAGCCTTGCTACCTTGTAAGCCTTAACTTGTTGTTAATCAAATGTTTTTGGCCGAAACACTGCACTTTCTGCACCTAGCCAGAAATGTGCAACTGTAACAGACCAGGGAGCAGACTCAAAAGTGTTTTTTTCCTCTTTTCTCTTTTCTTTTCACATTTGTATTGAAATTAAGCAGTGTAATCACATTAAAAACATGGAACGTTGTCAAATACTTTGGAAAAAGAGTCAGAGTTTTCCAGAACTCTCTTTGGGTCAAGTTTGCCATATTCCAAGGTTGGTTTTCCTCCCAGAAACTACAGAGGGAGACACTTCAAACACCCCAAGAACACAGATTTAACCATCACAGAGACTTATAAAGAGTAAAAATGGGACTTAGTTCTGCTTCACATCTTCAGTGGGTCAGTGGAAAACGCAGAGCAACTGTAGCCTCATAAGTCCTCCATAAGTCATAAGATATTCTAAGATATAGATATTTTAATAAAATTTTACCTATGTTAATTTATTACCCTCCTGTTAAAAATGAGTGAATGCTTCTGTTCTGACGCTCCTCCCACAGACATGACCTCTGCTCTGTTCTTGTATCTCCTCAGGCCTGAAGACCATCGTCGGAGCTCTGATCCAGTCTGTGAAGAAGCTGTCAGACGTGATGATCCTCACCGTGTTCTGCCTCAGTGTCTTTGCTCTCATCGGCCTCCAGCTCTTCATGGGGAACCTCCGACAGAAGTGTGTTTTCTGGCCCATCAACATAACAGGGCAGTACCTGTCCAACGGCAGCAGAGGCTTCGACTGGGGGGAGTACATCATGAACGACTGTAAGCACCAAGTGACACTTTATTTAAATATTTAAAAGGTCCAGATTACACTTTTTCTGATCTATGTTAGACAGTAATGTAGTTTCCTCATCACAAACAGACCTGGAGTAGTTTTTTGTTTCATTCACACATGTTTAACACACAAACCCTGCATCATTTAGGATGACTTCTCTCAAACTGAAAATCCTTGTGATGTCATGTGGTAATACAGAAGGTGCTCCACTATGTTCTTAAAGAGCTCATCTCATGCAAAATCAACTTTTCAGAGATTTCTACCTTCTAAGAGTGATGTGTGGGCCTTGTATTTGTCGCTGAAGTGTTTTTTAGATTGATTCTGTTTTTTTTTTAAACAAATTGCAGTGTATTTCTGTCACCCTCCCACGTGACAATGAACTAAAGCTGCTACAACGATGACGCGGCAGCTACACCTATGACGCGTTTGACGTAGCAGAAAGCACTTCGCCCCCGCCCCCCTCCCCCGCTCCACCACCTCCGCCCCGCCTCCACCTCACATCGTCTTATAATTCCCACATGGGTGAGCAATAGGTGGCCTTTCATAGTTCCTGGTCTGTGACTGTCTCCAAGAAATCAGTAAGATTTCAGAACTATTGTGTAATGGATGTTCCAAAACCCAAATTGTGCTTGAATATGTGCAGAAGATACAATGTGAAAAGAGTTATTTTGCATTTGGATGATTTCAGCCCATGGAATTGCCAATCTCTGCTGAACTAAAGGTGAAAGGAGCTGTTAATTGAAAAGTACCACTTCATGACATCACAAGGTGGAACAGAGCATCATAGCTTTACAGATGTAGACAGACTAATAATAAAATGTTATTCAAACATGTGTGAATGAAACAAAATAGCTCCAGGTCTGTTTTTAATGAGGTAACAACATTATAACATGGCTCAAAGCTCATGAGTAAATTTTGTGTAATAAAGGACCACAACTTGAGAGGGTCACCACCATCATTTTGGAATTTGTCACATCTAAATTAATTCAAAGGGCGTCTAAGTAACTTTCCCAGCGAGGAGTCCATCACCTGCTTCTCCATAGAGATGCTTTGCCCGGAATGTGCCACAGTGTGCTATCAAACGTATCCATTTTGCATTTTGTCAGTTATATGTGTTTGGTGCTCAGACATTGCCTTAAAAATCTGCATTTTCTCTTGAGAGGGTCGCCACTTCACAGATCTGAGCTGTGACTTGGCCCGGTGATGTCTCCATGAAATTTGCTAAGTTCAGTCATACTGTGGAACACTGCAAACATGTCGCAAACACGTCACTCTAAAAGTTACAGACTGCACCTTTAATGGTCTGATTATTTTCCTTCTTGTTTTTCCCACAGCTAATTTCTACTTCCTGCACGGTCAGCTGGACGCTCTCCTTTGTGGAAACAGCTCAGATTCAGGGTAAGCAGCTAAACACACAAATTCATATTTATAGAGTTTGATCATATTATTGTATCATGTTTGGTCCTTTTCCAGGCGCTGTCCGGAGGGCTACACGTGTATGAAAGCCGGGAGGAACCCAAACTATGGCTACACCAGCTTTGACAGCTTTGGATGGGCCTTCCTCACTCTCTTCAGGCTCATGACACAGGACTTCTGGGAAAATCTCTACATGCTGGTACAGGATGTTTTTTTGTTTTTGTTTTTTTTGAGCAAATACATGCATCATGAATTTCGGACTTCATGTCATTGCGCAGTGCATACTGGGAAGGATTTTCAGAAAAAGTGAGCATCAAACCTCCATGTTTGTTTTCCCAGTGGGATGTGTCTATTGTCAAAGCCCATCTTTTCAAGTCTTTTGAACCATATCACTATTGTTTCTGGTTCTGATATTGTCATATTTTAGTTTTGGGATACGGACATCATAATTGTGTGGTTGTTGGATCCTAACAGCGGAAAACAGCTCGAGAAATGGGCTTCGGAAGTTTGTGAACTCTATAAATGCAAAAGAGAGTCAGATGTGTGTGACTGCAAACCTCTGTTCAAACTGTTCCTCTTCCCAACGAAATTGAAAAATAGTGAAAGGTGAAGGCGATGGGCAGGATTGATCCACAGTAGGAACCAAAAAGGAAACCTTTGACTGACTTAAATCATCCCGAGTTTACAGCGAACTTTTTGTATGTGGAGCACCAAGAAAGCAAAATCCCAATCCCTCACTCAACCTTGGTTACGAATTTAAAAAGTCAATGCCAAAGTGAAAGGCACCAGCTGTTCACCAAGAAACACCTTCCACTGCATTGCTGTAAAACCACAAGAACAAGAAAGTGCAGCTCAGTCTGTTTGTCTTCTGCACCTCTTGCTTAACAAACGGTATCCCGCTTTGTTGTCGCTCCACATATAAAATGTTCGCTGCAAACTCGGGATGATTTAGGCAGTCAAAGATTTCCTTTTTGGTCCTTCCTGTGGATCAATCCTGCCCATCGCCTTCACCTTTCACTATTTTTCAATTTCGTTGGGAAGAGGAACAGTTTGAACAGAGGTTTGCAGTCACACACATCTGACTCTCTTTTGCATTTATAGAGTTCACAAACTTCCGAAGCCCATTTCTCGGAGCCGTTTTCCGCTGTTAAAACATCCAACAACCACATAATTACAATGTCCAAATCCCAAAACTAAAATATGACAATATCAGAACCAGAAACAAAAGCAACATGGTTCAAAAGACTTGAAAAGATTGACTTTGTCAATAGACTCATCTCACTGGGAAAACAAACATGGTGGTTTGATGCTCACTTTTTCGGAAAATCCTTCCCAGTATGGATTGCTCATTGACTGGAAGTCTGAAATTCATGATGCATGTATTGTTATACAGTCTAAGTTTCCCTAAAACAATGTTAGTATAGCAGTTCAAGTCACAGTAAGATGTAGCTATTAGGGCTAATTGTTGATTTGCTGACAAGTCAAACTATTGTTTCTATTGTTCATTTTGATTTTCTAAACACATTTAACCAGATAAAAGTAAAATAATGTAGAATGAAAACATACAGAATATGTACAAAACCAAGTGTATCATTACATTTTTACATTTTGATTGAACATTGCCACTGGTTTTCACATGTTTTTAGATGATTAAAGGGCTCGTCTAACACTATTTTCTAATTGATGCTATAATAGTGTTTCCTTATCACAAACATACCTGGAGTTGTGTAATCTGCATGTTTAGGCTGAGTTCTTCAAAAGGAAAACACTCTGTTCCACCTTGTGATGTCATTTAGTAATACAGAAAGTGCTCCACTGTGTTTTTAAACTCCAACCCTCACTGAAATCCTTGAGATGATTTCAGTCTCTCTCTGCTGCTCCTCTCTACTGAACTAAAGGTAAAAGCAACATGACATTACACAGTAGAACATTATACATACAGAGCATTATTGAATTTTGGAGCTGTAGACAGACTAATAATAAAGTGTTACTGAAACATCTGGTTATGTTTTTGATCAGGTAACAACATTATAACATGATTAATAGTCAATTTTGTGTGATATATTTAATGATGATTAAAAAATTCAAAGACTTTAATAGTTGGTTATTCCAGTTAATCAGGAGTAGTTGTAATAGTAGCAAAAGTAGTAATAATAGCAACTGCAGTAAAGATATTTTTTCAAATTTTCAATCAAGAAAAAAATTGTTCCGTCTTGTTTGTTGGTGCAATATTCATAGCACGTTTGGAAAACTTTTATAAAATGGTTCTTAAACCAAATCTGGATTAAACCAAGTCTAAAACAAGCCTTAAAAATGTAATGACAGAAAATAAGGTCTAAGTAAACTAAGACAAATCAGAAAAAGACATGCTTCACAGTTTGAAAACCACTGCTCTCTGCATCATCTCTGTTCATTATGATCGCTGAAATCTGAGCCTGTCCTTTGAACCCCATGACTCTGTATTGTGATATTTTCCCCCCAGACTCTGTGAGCTGCTAATCAAATACAAAATCTAAACCAGGTTTTTAAGCACTTCTAAAACAGACCTAAACAATGTTATTCATGAAAAAGACTCAAATAGAAGAAATGCAACTTTATTAGATATTTGTTCATTTTAACAGTAAGTAACTTTCTTGCCAAAACATAGAAACACACGAGGAGAATGTTTAACTTGTTATTTCCATAGAATCATGCAGTCGACTTTCCACCTCCACAAAGTTACACACTATGTAACAATGTATTGAACCTCGTGACTCCATGTTGTATTTCACATGTTTGATTTTCTTCAGACTCTGCGAGCTGCGGGTAAGACCTACATGATCTTCTTCGTGCTGGTGATCTTCGTGGGCTCATTCTACCTGGTGAATCTGATCCTGGCTGTGGTGGCCATGGCATATGAGGAGCAGAACCAAGCCACGATGGAGGAGGCGGAGCAAAAGGAGGCGGAGTTTAAAGCCATGTTAGAGCAGCTCAAGAGGCAACAGGAGGAGACGCAGGTGAGAGATGTTACAACAGACAGGGAGGGCATCTGGCTGTGCTCTGGAGTTTGATGATGTCCAAAATTCAGACTTCATCAGGTCTGTTTGTGATGGAAATTAGGGGAGATTTACAGTTTTTGAAAGAAATATCCAGACTTATGATCCACCTGTGACAAAATAAATCAGTGCCAGGTTAAAAACATCTGCCATCTGACACTTTAAAGGAATATTCTACTGATATTACTAATGGACAGAGCTATTCTCACCATATTTGTGAGTTCACAAACTCACGAGAATCCATCTTGAGGTGCTCCCGCTGGACCCTTTAAGTTTAACCCATGCAGTTTTCGGCCCAGTCACAGATCTTCTATGGCAGGGGGAGGGGCCTCAAGCAACATGACGACAAGCCCAAGCTCCAAGCCTACACCATACACTCTCTATATACTCTATATACAGTTTATCACCTACACGGGGCAACACAAACATGGCCGCACAACCAGATAACACCCTTCATGCACAAATTTGTATTGCAAAAATGTCTAAATTCATTTATGGACAGTTTCCCTCTCCAGTATGACACTGTTTGTGGTTTTACCTGGCACAAGTTGGATTTGTTATTTTGACAGGTTTGCTGTGATTGGTTCAAAAGAAACTGGTGGGTGGGCACTTCAGGGTGGTTCCCCGATCAGCTCAAGCCATTCTGCTGCAAGTTCCTCCTTTTTCTAAACCAGACCTGTCAGACTCAGGCTCGGGGGCCAAATTTGGCCAACGGTATAATTATATTTGGCCTGCAAGATCATATCAAATATGTATTAGAGCTGCCTGCCGCACACAGATAGACTATAATTATAATTATTTATTTAAAATGCTGTTATTATTTTATATTCTGCTTGTTCTGGAGTCAATGTTTAAGCAAAACTATTATTAAACATTTATTTTACTAAGAAAAGATTTAACATTACATATCTCTAAAGAAGAAGAAACATGCAGATGTTGCTCAAATTTTTAAATAAATATTTAGTTTGGCCCACGACTTAGTCCCAGTTTTTAATTTTGGCCTCTGTGAATTTGAGTTTGACATCCCTGTTCTAAACGCTTTCAGTTGTTCCAGATGGATAATGTGTAGAACTCATTTCAGAGTGATACACAGATCAGTCTGGTGTGAGCCAGGTTATAATCCACTAGCCACCTCATTCCAAACAGGAAGTGAGCATGGATGTGCTTCTGGCTCCATCGACTCCGTTTCCAATTCACTTTGTATTGAAAAAACCTTTGCCCCTCTCTTCATAACTGGTGCTGTCAGGTTCCTCATTTTAGTCTTAAAATGTTCATACTACCTTGCTCCACATGATCCGGGTGTTTTTATTTCGTCACACTCCCTTTGTCTTGTTTTTTATATAGTCTATGGTTTCAAACGGTAAGGCTACTAGAATGTATTTTTACAATAATAAAACACATTTTGAATCTAAAATACATTGGTTTATAAGGCTTTTAGTGAACAAAAATGTTGGTCTCAAAAATGGAATAAAAAAAATATTGCAAACTTAAAGGAGGAACTGTACTACAATGATACAACTATGGTTCTTTCCTATTCTCCTCCTGTCATCCTATTATATATTTATGTAAAGATGTTTGCTTCACAGCTAAATAATAACATTTCTATGGGCTCATTGCTGCATCCTTTTACTCTTCGCCTCAGAAATGGGATCTTTTGTCAGACCTTGACCTCAAACTGTACCATCAGACTTCCACGTTTGACTTTTTTGCCCCGACTGTTGTTGTTGTTTTAAAGTCTGCTCTGTTTCCCCAGGCGGCTGCGATGGCCACTTCAGCAGGGACGGTGTCAGAGGCGGCCCTGGAGGACGAGGGCGGGGGGCACCTGTCAAGGAGTTCCTCTGAGGTCTCACGGCTCAGTTCCAAAAGCGCCAAAGAGCGACGCAACCGCAAGAAGAAATGGCGTCAGAAAGAACAGGAGAAGGAGAAAGGAGACAGCGAGAAGGTGGTGAAGTCTGAGTCTGACGATGGGAGCAAACGAAGCACCTTAAGATTCCCTGGGACTCGACTGGGCAGGAAGACGTCCATCATGGACCAGGTATTTTTATATGTTTCTATCTTTATTTTAGTCAAGGGAAGTTTAGCTTTGAAGCGCTTTCTGCTACGTCAAACGTGTCATAGGTGTAGCTGCCGCGTCATCGTTGTAGCAGCTTTAGTTCGTTGTCACGTAGGAGGGTGGCAGAAATACGCTGCAATTTGTTAAAAAAAAACCAGAATCAATCTAAAACCCACTTCGGCGACAAATACAAGGCCCACACATCACTCTTAGAAGGTAGAAAGGTCTGAAAAGCTGATTTTGCATGAGATGGGCCCTTTAAGGCACTCAAAACATTTTCATTTTACATCAAGGAATCACTCTCACATTCACACACACATTCATACACGAGTGTACGCACACTCTAGTGACCCAAGGGACAGACCCAAGGACATAGTGATAGTAGTCATCTGTGGGTGCAGTGCCAGCTTGTGGGTCAGTAGATCTCACTGCTCTTCCCAATGATGTCTGTGTAAAGAGTGGGATTCAAACCACCAAACTTCAGATCAGTGGCCAAAAACTCTAACGACTGAGCTACTGACTCCCCATCAAATCACATTACAAACTATTGAAATAATCATAATACATTTAAAGAGAATAACATTTTTCAGTAATAAGAACAGCTAAAGCTTTCTGATGCAATGTTGAGGCCATGTAGAATCACAACTGAGCAACATGTAACCATTGGGATGGGATTTTGATAATAGAGAATAAAGAAAAGAAACAAACTTGTCATAAAAAGTCAGCTCCAACAGTGTTCTGAAGTCAGTCCAACATTCTCTTTTCTTCTCAAATTAGTGTTCATGGAAAGGAAGGCAAAAATATTAGGTTTATTCTAATAGAGGCTCCATTTGTTTGTAGTGTAGACATTTATAACACTCCACAGATGGGCACAGGTATGCAGGTACTGCTTTATGCCTTTAAAACAGAAAAGGGCAAAAGGGTGTCTCCTTTAGCCACCTCTGCATGTGCCAGTATGCTCTTCTTTGCCTCCTCTCCCGCATCATTTAACAATACACTGATAATAAAACAACTAGGGCTGGGAGATAGGGAGCAAAAAATATATCTCGACATGTTTTGCTGTATCTCGATATACGATATATATCTCGATATGTGTACAGGAAAAATAACACCCCAAAAACTCCTACAAAAACAAATCTGCCAAATTCCACAATGTGTTTTTTTATTGAAGTGCAAGAGGTCAGCAGTTCATGTAGGAACAAAGTGCTTCTGCAACATTTAAGATTACGAAAAATCTTTGATTACATAAATAATAATTTTAACTGTAAAATAAAATAAATAATACATGTTGCCTTCTTTTCATTCATAAATAAAACAACTCAACTCAAGTTAATCTTTGCATTAACTCTGTTAACCATACCAGAACCATGAGCTCCTTTAGCAGAGGAAGCTCAGGAGGTTCATTATTTGAACAGACCCATGTTCCTCACCAGTGTAAGGAGCTGCGAGGTTTCCCGCAATCCACTGCAGATCAAACCCAACGTTTCCAAACACTATTGTACAAGTGACACTGCAGCAGATTATTGATTAAAATCTTCTGCATAAATAAACTTTTCATTATTAAACTTTACAACATTTAAAGCATAACAAGTATAGAACCACATCAGCCCGTTTGAGATTATCATGTGTTTAATGCAGTTTTACACACGTGTTTATGTTTAACAGAAATGAAACTTAAAACTGCATGACTCATTTGCATAAACAGCTCACTCCTTGTGTCGCTGATGCGGTTCAGCTTCCTTCAGACTAAAGGACACGACTCAGTGGAACATGAGTGTTCTCTCTGTGACAGAGGATGTGCTGCTGATGGTTTTGTCTGTAAATGGTGGAAAAGGTTGTTGGTGATAGAAGTTTTTCACTGACGCCAACTTTGGGTAGTGAGGAGTGAACAATACACAAGCAGCAAAATCAGGGAGGCGGGGGCACGCACAGAGAAGGCAAATAAGCGAAGTGGCAAAATCAGAATTAAATATAAGCATTATATCAATATATACGATATGTCAGAATCCATATCGAGTTTAAAAAATATCTCAATATATTTAAAATATCGAAGTATTGCCCACGCCTAAAAACAACACACTACAACTTCAGAAACCTGATGCAATGTGCAGAAGTTTCATTACGCTGGATGCATGCTGACTGTGTTATGATAGTGTTCTGAAGGGGAAGTGCCTTGTTCTTTTCCTCCTCTCTGGGATCATTTATTATAGTTGGGCAGTCATTTATTATAGTTGGGCAGTCTACATGAAGAGCACAAACTGTCTCCATTCTAACTCCTACAGTAATGTGCCATAGTTACACTGTGTTTTTGTGCCCTCCTCCTAGTCCCTGCTGTCTATCCCTGGCTCTCCGTTCATGTCACGCCACAACAGCCGCAGCAGCATCTTCAGCTTCAAGGGCCGCTCGAAGGACATGGGCTCCGAGAACGAATTCGCCGATGATGAGCACAGCACGGTGGAGGAGAGCGAGGACCGGCGGGGCTCTCTCTTTATCCCCTACAGACGCAACAGCTACAGTGGCTACAGCCAGGGCTCCTCACGCATCCACCCGCTGGCGCCCCACTCAGGAGGGAAGAGGAACAGCACCGTGGACTGCAATGGCGTGGTGTCTCTGATTGGACCAGGGCCCGACCGGCGACTCCTGCCTGAGGTGAAAATAGATAAGGCAGCCACTGACGAGAGTGTAAGGACGTCTAAGAGACACTGGTTCAGTCTAGGCATGATCAGGATCTGTCCCCTGTACGATCTCTAACCCGCTGACCCAGGCTGCAGACTCCCACTTTCACTGTTTGTTTGTCTTTTAATCATCAATATTATTTACAAAGAGGGGGTATAATGCAAAATCCACTTTTTAGAGTTTTCCACCTTGGTATAGCATTGTTCCCTCATCAAAAACATGCCTGAAGAGGTTTAATATGTCATCCATGCATGTTTGAGTAATCTAGTGATCTCCTGGGCCCCGTTTGAACCCTTCTTACAGTTAACTGTATGAGCTTGTACATGACTCAGCCGACACCTTCATCACCTACGCTCTGTGCGGCAATTGTCCATGAATATACAAAAGCAGATTACAAAACAATACACTAGGATATGCGGTAGTGTGCGGCTCTGAAGGATGTGTGACATGGCTACGTCCACGTGACAATGCTCCTGGATTTTTTTTTACAGGCTGAAAAAAATGTGCGTCCACATGTGTTGGATCAAAAAATATTCAAGTCCAGACAACAATGGAGCACGGAGTGAAAATGATGTAATACATCTGCCACGCCTGTATGTGGCGCTGTTAACAATGATAATAATATTTAATCATGCAAATCTCATCACTGTTTCTTTTAACTTTAAGGTAATTTAGTCTATTTTAGATGTATCCCAGAAATATAGCTGTTTTGTTTTTTCAAAAGTTAAACATAAATTTTCGTTTTTAGCCATAAGATTTGATGATAATTATTAACAGTTTAATTAATCATGCATAATCTTTGTTATTGATCCGTGTGCGCATTCTGCGGCGCATGTTGTTAGCATTAGCGCTAGCAGCGTGTTTCGGTTGTTGGGTGACAGGAGCAGCTCTTTAGCCTACACCTGTCACATTCCGGCCACGCTCTTGTTGTCTGTGGAGGCCAGTTCGACGGCTGCAGACTTCGCTGTATCAGGACTGACGGAGTCGTGACGTCATTGTTTTCCAAAAGCTGCAGTTTGCTTGTCCACACAGCAACACAACACCGGCGTTCTCCATTCCACTCATTTCTCCACTCTGGAATCTGTTCTAAAAAAAAAAACAACACTGTTTTTGCCCACGTAAAACACTGTCTCTGTGTGGACGAAAGACCAATACGAATACAAACTTCACCGTTTGGACCAAAAAACATTATTATGTGGACAGGCCCTAAGAGCGGAGAGTAAAGGCAGGGAGGACCAAAAAAAACAAACAGAAACTAATAAAACATGTTAATATGTAATATCTGATGAATACAGTATTTCCAAAACAATCAAAAGTAGCACGGTGATCTAAATATGTTATGTGTGAGCAGTTAATAGCCTGTAGAAGTCATATACTCCCTCTTTGACATTTCATTTAAGGATGTGTTTATTTTGACATATTTAATGTAATTCTGTGTAAGAGACATTGGTTCAGTTGAGGCATGATCAGGAGCTGTCTCCCTTGTACAACCTCTAACCTGCTCACCCAGGCTGTACACTCCCACTTTGACTCTTTATTTGTCCTTTGACATGTCATCGGTTTATTTTATCTTTTTTTTTATTTTTAATTTTTTTTTTCATTTTTCAAAACAAACAACATACTAATCAAATAGACAAATATCAGATAGTCTATTCAATAATGTTTCAAGTTGTGCTGTATAACCTTTCTAGTGGAGGGTACACCACCTGCTTTTCTTCATGGAGATGTTATTGCCTAAAATAGCCTGATTGTCTCCAAGTAGATTTGTTTAATGCTATACGCTGGGACATTCTAGCCAAAGGAATAAGTACCAAGAAATTGTACCCTCCACCAGTAATGTTCCGCAGTGTACCTTTAAAAATCAAAGTAACAGTTTTTGCAGACAGGTTGCATACATTCTTCATGATTAGTTTCACATATTCATATTACATTACCATATCAATTATATTTATTTTCTCTATTTTTTAAATGTAGCATCTGTTCACTCACTGTAAATATGATTTAAATGATTTCTGCCTTTTCTAACTGTCTGTCTATGTAAGCAGCCTTATCAGTGTTGTGGTCCCCAAATTATTTAAGAATAGAATTAATTTGCCTCTTTTTAGCCCAAACCAGATGAAACTCTGCATTAGCATGGTACGACTTGACCTACATGCATGCTAATGAGTGCATGTGGTCCAATGTGTGCTGGAGCTGCTCAGGTGGAGACCGGTGAAGCTCTGGAACTTAAACCACTGGAAATGAATGTTTCAAAGGGTAAATTCTCAAAGAACATAGTACTGGTTTTCTATTGTGGGAACCATAATCGAGGATACACTATTGTCATTTTGTGGTGCAGTGTCCATAACTTTCTCTCAAGGGAGTTATTTTGATTCTAATATTCCGCAGTATGGCCTTAAACTGTTCTATCTTCAAGAAGACAAGCTGTTATCATCACTAACCCATTTCAGCAATATAAAAGTCTATGACTGAATAAATCCACAAAAATACGTTTAACAGTCCAATGAGGTTAGTTTGGTCTTCTGATAATTTATGTTATTAGGTTCCTTTTTCAGACCAAGAGTTTGTTTTCATAGCTGACAGTTTGGACTGCTTTCTAGCTCTCTTCCTGAGAGTCTCGTGATGTTGCTGTGCCACTCAGCTGATGTAAACATGCAAGTTAAATAAGTGTAATGCCATACTGTGGAACATTCCAGACAAAGCAATTACATCTCCATAGTGCACCTTTAATTCATTGTTTACTTTGCACATTTCTTAAAGAGACTGGTATGAAAAAGGTTCTGTTATCTTAGTTCAGTCCTGATGTAGACTTGGTTGGGACCTGGTTAGGACCTGGTTAAGTTTCTGGTTTAGTTCTGGTTTAGTCCTGGTTTAGTTCTGGTTTAGTCCCTTTATAATAAACTTGCATGAATAATAGTCACAAATCCAAATCACATGGTTATTAAAGTGTTAAATTTTGCGATAAAAGTGCACAATGTAAGTTTTCTGGTGGAGGGTCTGCCACTTTCTTGTCTCCATGGAGATGTCATTGTTTTGGCTGGAATGTTACACAGTATGGCAAAATTGAACACTTTAATAACCATGTGCTTTGGATTTGTGACTCTCATTCTTGCAAGTTTATTATAAAGGGACTAAACCAGAACTAAACCAGGACTAAATCAGAACTAAACCAGGACTAAACCAGAACTAAATCAGAACTAAACCAGGACTAAACCAGAACTAAACCAGGACTAAATCAGAACTAAACCAGAACTAAACCAGAACTAAATCAGGACTAAATCAGAACTAAATCAGGACTAAACCAGAACTAAATCAGGACTAAACCAGAAACTTAACCAGGTCCCAATCGAGTCTACATCAGGACTGAACTAAGATAACAGAACCTTTTTCATACTAGTCTCTTTAAGTCAAAGTAAACAATGAATTAAAGGTGCACTATGGAGATGTCATTGCTATCTGGAATTATCTGGAATGTTCCACAGTATGGCATTACACTTATTTAGCTTACACATATTCAATAACAGGTTTTATATTGTTCTAAAAATACTTCAACTAAAAAGACTAAAAATGCATTCAGTTACAGATCAGGCTTGGTAATAGAGAAGTTTAATGCCACACTGCAACATTCAAAGTCAAGTAATAATATCTCCATAGAAAAGAAGATGGTGAAGAAACAACATCATGTGCCTTTAATGGTCAAATGTTTCAGTGAAATATTATCGGGCTGTGGTTGACTAAACAAGATTTTGGTCGACTAAAGACAAGTCGATTAAAAAGGGCTGTGGCCAAAGCTCTCAAAACAATCACATATCTCTGTGGAGTCATAGACTATATATACATGGACACAGCAAACCTGCTTAGTCTTGTATTATTTGTTTCTTAAAATAAAAACAAAAATAAGAAAATGAAAAAAAATATATATATATATTTTCTTCATTATTTGTCTCCACAACCAAAATGAAAAAACAGATAACAATTAGTTGTTTTTCAGTTTCAGATTTTGTGTTTAAATGAATAAATGAAAAAACTGATACATACAGACTAAACCAGGACTGAACCAGGGCTAAACCAGATCTAAACCAGGACTAAACCAGGACTGAACCAGGGCTAAACCAGATCTAAACCAGGACTAAACCAGGACTGAACCAGGGCTAAACCAGGACTAAACCAGGACTAAATTAGGACTAAACCAGGAATGAGTGCCAGGACGGGCCACGAGGTGCGCCCGTGTAGACTGTTGGGTGATCAGGACTGAGACCGGGACTGAGACCGGGACCAGACCAGGACTCAGACCGGGACTGAGACTGGGACCAGACCAGGACCCAGACCGGAGCCGAGACCAGGGCTGAGACCGGGACCGAGACCAGGGCTGAGACCGAGACTGGGACTCAGACCGGGGCCAAGACCGGGATTGAGACTGGGACTGAGACCGGGACTGAGACCGGGACCAGACCAGGACTCAGACTGGGACTGAGACCGGGACCAGGACCAGGACCAGGGACTGAGACCAGTTTAGAGACCTGTTTTAGTCCTGGTTCAGTCCTGGTTCAGTCCATATGCGGCGCTAAAGTCCGGGAAAAACGGGAAACAGCCATTATCCATTTTTTCCATTATTCATTTAAACACAAAATCATAAACTGAAAAAATTAATCGTTATCTGTTTTTTCAGTTTGGTTTTGGAGACAAATGGAAATACTGTATACATGTGGAATAGTACTAGTCAGTTAGTATAACGTTGTTTGAGAATTTACTATGGAATCTTGTATTTGCATCATTGGAGCTGCAGCATTATAACTGACCTACCCACTGTTCTTCCTCGTGACCACTGAAGGCGCTGTTGTTGTTTTATGGCAGACGACGGACGTGGAGCTGAAGAAGAAGCATTCGGGGTCGCTCATGGTTTCGGTCGATCAACTCAACTCCTCGTTCAAAGAGAAGGACCACACCAAGAGCCAGATGAGCGTTGTCACCAACACGCTCCTAGAGGGTGTGTCACTCAAACACGCACTTTCAATGAGCTGGACATTGTGAGGACTTTATAACAACTCTAAGAGACCGACAACTAGCATGCTAACAAAACACTTCCTGGTTCTCGGACTATAAAAATGCTTTATAGTTACATACAAACAGCACATATTTTGACCTCAAGTGATACAATATTTTTGTACTGGGGCACGACATTTTTGCTCAAATAAATCATGTACAGGCGTTTTAAGGTTAGGGTCTGGGTGAGGGTTCTGGGTTTAGAGGGAGCATAGGTACACTGCTGTCTTAAATGTGAAAAACAGAAGTAAACCGTTTGCAGTGGTCCAGTTCTTAATCACTTACCTTATGCATTCAGGGCATAATAGTTATGCACCGTGATGAGTTTATAAGTGCGTCTTGGTTCACGCATGATATAACATATAACAACTATAATTAGACCACACACAGCAGTCTCATTCTGACCCTAAGAGCTACTTTTATAATATGTGCATAGTACTTTTGCTCCACTCTATGATTAACATAAAATACACACACTTTAATGAGATAAGATAGTGCTGTTGTGAATCATAAAGGCTTTTAAATGTGGTTCAGGCAGAATTGAATTGGGTATAAAGTATCAAATTTTTTGGAAAACATTTGTTTAATGGTTAATAAAGATCATATAGAACAGTTATCATTTTAACACATATGCGTTATGTGTGTATGTGAGTGTAGTATCCCCAAATGCAGAACTGCATTTGGAAACTCAGCTTTTTCATGCGCGGCCTTTCCATAAGTGGAACATGTCACCAACAGAGCCGATCACATGTACAAACTATGGCACATTTTCATGCCTGGCGAAACAGTGGCTCCTCTCAAACCAAACCTGCACCCGTAGTGTGGACTGATGAGTGTCTAATGATTGAAGAGAGAGTGATGCTCTGGAGTGAATGAAATGAATGATGCTTTTGATAAGGATGATGTTTTTAAGATGCTGAGAGAACTGGAAGTGAATGATGATACAGAATTGTTATGATGCTCTGAACATTATAAAGACTTTCTCTTTATATGTTTGATTTTATGAACTATAACATCATCCTGCCCAGAGACGACAGGTGGAAATGAGCACTGGCTCTATAACCTGGTACAAACATCTCTCTTTTTAAGGTTAATGTAGACTGTGCACTGTCCCTGTCTCATGCAATAAATAAACTAAAAAAACTACACTAAACTAACTAAATAATTGACTGACTATCAATAATTAACTATAAGTAAAATGTAGACATATTTTTTACATTATGCATAAAAGCACAGGTTAGATAACAAAAGTTATTGTCTTCCAAACTGCTTAATTTTATAATCAATTCACGTTTTGTACAATACTTCAACCTCAACCAAGACATTTACAGACACATTTTAGAACATTCCTACACTGTAAAATCTAATAAGTTAACCTTACTTGAAAAAGCCTTGGAAACCAATTGCCTTGAAAATTTTGACTAAAGCTGTGTTTACAAGTCATTCCTCAGTGTAGTGTATGGTAAATTCGTCTTTTATCTAACTAGGCATAACAAGTGAAGTGAACATTAGTTTTCATTGATAGACTCATGTTGTGAAGCTGTGCCAACGAATCAGTCAGTTCCACAAATCTGAAATATGTAGTAATTGTAGTAACTTACTTTAAGAGTACATTAACCTTACTTGAAAAAACCTAGGAAACCGATTGCCTTGAGTTTAGCAAGTAACCTTTACTTTAAGAGTAATTTAATCTTATTTGATAAAACCATGGAAACTGATTGCCTTGAATTGAGCAAATGTTACTTAAATACACAAGTTAGAGTAAAAAGACGTTTTATTCTACAATAATGCAGGTACACAAAGATTTTAATATTTATTAGTCTTTAAAAAAAACAGGCAAATCATTTGTTCAGCTTAAGTTCAAAACACATCGTATCATCATGAGTAACAATAAAGTAATAAAGCTTGATCATTCCATGTCAACTCAACTAAGACCCCCGAATTTAGGGGAAAAACGTGCTGGAAGAAACAAAACAGGAGAACAGGTGTAATCCAGCACAGACTGAAAGAACAGAGAGACTGGATGAACAGAGGGAGGATATAGAGATGCTCTGGGAGGATCAGGGAATGAGTGGCGGCTGTAGGAAAAAGAGGGAGCAAAAGAAGGACCGGAACAGACTGGGAAATGGAGCTGGACTCTTGACAATAATCCACTGTCACTGTTGAGGTTACTCATCTCATTCAAGTTGACCTTAGTGTAACTGACAAGTACCGTATTTTCCGCACCATAGGACGCGCTCTTAAGCCTCCAACCCCGTCAAAAAACGACTGCGCACCCCACAATCCAGAGTGCCCTATACACGAATTCCACTCGGGTGTCCCAGCACGACTTCAGTAAACTACAAAGCCGCACCACCCACAGCGCACGTAAACACACACGGAGCAGACAGCGACCGCACAGCGAAAAACACCCACAGACACACTCATCACTCCACACCGACGAGGAACAGAACGGAGGAACGAACTGAAAAAGCGAGTGCAATGTGCCACTTCTAGACACAACTGAACAACTGAGTCACTGCGAACACGCCGACAATCCAGCGGTCTCAGACAGCACCCTCCCTACACGCCACAACTGAACAAAGCCCAGAGTCACCGTGAACGCGACAAACAAAGTCCCACTGACCCATCACACTGTTGTGTTTCCTTTAATATCCGGTGCGGTTTATTTGTGAAAAAAGTTGGAAAATAGACCATTTTATGACAGTGAGCCTTATAATCCAGAGTGCAGAAAATACGGTAATGTGCTTTTTTTCACCCTGAAAGTCACTGTCACCACAATCATTAAGATCCACTAATTCGTAGCTGTGAGTGATGTAAACAAGCTGAATGCAAATGAACCCTAGTGTTAGATTTGACAGTGTAATGTCTGTGTTCTCTGGTGTATGAATGTGTGTGAATGGGTGAGTGGTTCCTTCATGTAAAGTGTTTTGAGTGCCTTGAAGGTGGAAAAGTGCTGAATTTAAATGTGTGTTTTTATTTGTGCAGAATTGGAGGAGTCCCAAAGGAAATGCCCCCCCTGCTGGTATAGGTTTGCTAACGTCTTCCTGATCTGGACCTGCTGTCCGCTGTGGCTGAAGATAAAGCACATCGTGTACCTGATCGTCATGGACCCTTTTGTGGACCTCGCCATCACCATCTGTATCGTCCTCAACACGCTCTTCATGGCCATGGAGCACTACCCCATGACCCCACATTTTGAAGAGGTCCTCGCCACGGGAAACCTGGTAAAAACTATACGAAATCATCATTTAGTTCTACATTTACAGTTCTGATGAAAAGAAAAGAGGAAGTGTACAGGACTGTTGACAGAATTTGGGGGGCCTGGGACAAGAGAGCTCATTGGCCCCCATATATTACACAAAACTGACTCTTGGGAGCTTTAGACCATTTTAGAATGTTGTTACCTCCTCCAAAACAGACCTGGAGTTGTGTTTTGTTTCATTCACACATATGTTTGAGTAACCCTTTATTATTAGTCTGTCTACATCTCCAAAGCGCAAAATGCTCTGTTCCACCTTGTGATGTCATGAAGCGGTAGTTTTAAAGTTAACAGCTCCTTTTAGCTTTAGTTCAGTGGAGACTGGCAGTTCCAGGGCTGAAATTATCCAAATGATTCTAGTGAAGGTGTATGGAATTTAAATTTTAACACTTTGGAGCACTCCCTGTATTCTCACATGACATCACAAGGTGGAGGGCGAGGAGAAGTTGAAGTTTGTCGACAGGACAAAAGTTAGTTTGGTTGAAGACGTTTCGCAGCTCATCCAAGCTGCTTCTTCAGTTTTGGTCGAACGCTGGCGGACACTTCCTTATATCTGCAGGGAGGAGCTAACTACTCTGAAACTAACACACCTACTTGTTTACAGTTTTTGTTTGTTAGTTCAGCCTATTGACCTGTACAGGGTGTGGGGTCTAATTAGCAGAACCATTCAGGGCCATAATTGGTGCTCCTTCATCTCTGGACCTGACCTGGATACACCTGTTGTTCTCTTGTTTGTTTTGATTTAGGTTTGAGGATGGAGTTGTAAATAGGAGATAGATGGTGTCTGAGGCCTCCATTTCTGTTTAGAGAAGGATTCTCTTTCTTAACAAAAATGGCTTCTTTCACTCCCCTCTCAAACCAATTCTTTTCTCTGACTAAAATCTGTACCTCGCTGTCCTCAAATAAGTGGCCTGTGGCTTTTAAGTGGAGATGTACAGCAGACTGAGGTCCACTGCTGCTCTCTCGTCTGTGTTGGTTCATCCTCTTGTGCAGTGTCTGTTTAGTTTCTGCAGTGTAGCGTTTACTGCAGTCTTCACTACACTGAATGGAGTAGACCACATTGCTTTGTGTGTGGCTCGGTTTTTTGTCATTTGGGTGGACCAGTTTCTGTCTTAGAGTGTTTGTGGGTTTGAAATAGACCGGGATCTCATGTTGTCTGAAAATCCTCTGTAGTTTTTCAGACATCACAAGGTGGAACAGAATATTTTCAGTTTGAGAACTCAGCCAAATCTTCAGGGTTTGTGTGTTAAACATGTGTGAATGAAACAAAACACAACTCCAGGTCTGTTTTTAGTATGGAAACTGTCATTATATAGATCAGAAAATAGTGTAACATGGGCCCTTTAAGAGGAAGTAAAGGACACTAGCCCCCCTTCCTCTCTATGTTCACATTTGTGCTGCTGTGTGTGAATGGTTGCTGGGCAGAGGAAACATTTATGTTGTTGCCCCGATGTCAAATCTCCCTAAATGGAGATGTTGCCTGGCAAATCCAGAATGATATCTCTCTGTATTTTTTGTACAGATATCATTCTGTCTCCACTCCCTCTATCACGTCTTAAGCCAGAACCAAACACGATCAACCAATCAGATTATTATTATTATTTTCTTCAGTGATGCTTATGAAACAAAGGAGCTCACTGGTCCTGGATCGTTTACATAGAAACACTTTTCTCTCCCCTCATATGAACAGTGTTTAGTGCTTTGCTCACTGATTCTGCAGAAAGATGTCTCCTCCCCATGTGCTTCTTTGATTGTCTAATCCACCTGTCAATCATGCCCATGTGAAAACGGGGAGATTCTTAGTACTGGAGAAGTGTGCATAGGGTCTATTCACGTTATGTCACAAACCAGAAAGACATTTGGAAATATGCGATGTCAACTTCCGGTGTAGTTCGCGACACTAGACTCACTGACCGACTGTGAGTAAATGTGATCAGTCGTAAAATGAAGACTGCAGACATATGTGCTGTTTGAAATCATCTGGAATTTGGTGCCTCATCTCTTCTAATCACATGTACCCAGTGCACTCAGAGTTGTGTGTCAGTGGGGAAATGATAAAAATAACAGAACATAACAGAACACTACAATGACATGGAGATGAAGAAAACTAGGATATTTTCAAATTTTTCCTACATTTTGTCAGACTTAACACAGAGCGAACAGAGCTCACCGGAAGTTGTCATCGCATTTTTCCAAACGTCTTCCTGGTTTGTGACGCGAGTATGAATAGAGCTTATTCTGGATCTTAGGCAAACAGACACAATAATGAGTTATTCTAATCTGAACACATCTGTCAGTGAGTTAAAACTGCTAAAAGTGAATACATTTGAGCCAACCAGACGTATATACTATGCTATACTATAAATATTCAAATATTTATTGAGAACATTTGAAACGAAAGCAGGAATTTACTTGGAATTTATATGAAAAAAAGTTGCATACCCATACCATATATTTAAAGGGCCCATCTCATGCAAAATCAACTTTTCAGAGCCTTTTACCTTCTAAGAGTGATGTGTGGGCCTTGTATATGTCGCCAAAGTGGTTTTTAGATTGATTCAGTGTTTTTTTAACAAATTGCAGCGTATTTCTGCCACCCTCCCACGTAACAAAGAACTAAAGCTGCTACAACGATGACGCAGCAGCTACACTTATGACGCGTTTGACGTAGCAGAAAGCGCTTCGTAATCACCCTCGTCCCCTGCTCCACCACCTCCGTCCCGCCTCCGCCCTACCTCCGCCCTGCATCGACTGACAATTCCCACATGAACACCTAAACAAAAGCGACAGCAAGTTTATCTACTAGTGTTTATTAATACTTTACCAATCAGTAATGTTCAGCTGATGTCGACGCAGTGCTTGAGCTACCTGCACCTCAAAGTCCTCGTCCGATTCCGGGTCCAACACATGCGACTGAACGCGCTGTATCGCCATGATGAATAAAAGTTTATTCCTACCGCTATCAGGGCGCAGGCCTGTCTCCCCCTCCCTCCCTGAGATGGGTGGAGGAAGGGCGGCTCACTCGTCGCCTACGTCATGTTTGGAGGGCGGAGCCTGTGATTTCTCAGGACTGACGGGGGGATAAGCAATAGTCAGCCTTTCATAGTTCGTGTCTCCTGTCATAGTGACTGTCTCAAAGAAATCAGTAAGATTTCACAACTATTGTGTAATGGATGTTCCAAAACCCAAATTGTGCTTGTAAATGTGCAGAAGATACAATGTGAAAAGAGTTATTTTGCATGAGATGGGCCCTTTAAAGTAATGATTCTAGCTGACAGAAGCGAGACTGCCAATCTGTACCCTCTCACTCACACACAACACATTCATAGGTGGTGTAAGTGTATTGCCTCAGGACATAACGAAGCTGTGCACTAGTCTGAGTGGGGTTCAAACCACTGACCACTTTGGGTTGGTTTGCGATCGCTCTAAAACTCTAAAACTATGAGCATACCATAACACTGCTGAGGGAAAACACAAGACTTACGAATAGAAATGACCTTGCAGTGTTCACGTTTTTACAAGAAACATTTCAGGTTTTACCCACAAAGCCTTAACAGTAGAGAGGGTGACTTAGTTTGATATTTGCACTTAAGAACACATATATACTGTCCTCATTAAAGATTTAGGCCCATTTAAAGCAGACAGCCAGCCTCGCTCTAATGCTGCGTCTTGCTTACCTCAACTCTTACCTCTTCCTCTTATACAAATCTACACGCAGCAGTTTCTATGGAGTGGTGACGAACTGGTGCAGTCACAGTTCAGGAGTCATCACATTGAGGTTCTTAATAATGAGGGGAGGGATTCATGTATTATCCTTAAAGGTCCTATATTATGTAAAATTTTGAACTTTTAGCCATATTAGAATGTTGTTACACCCTTAAATCTTCTTTTTACCATTAGTTCAGTAGAGATTGGTAATTCCAGGGATGAAATTATCCAAATAATTCTAGTGAAGGTGTAAGGAGCTTAAAAATACAGTTTTCCTGGAAAGTACATGACATCACAAGGTGCAACAGAATCTTTTCTTAGTGGAATGCACATTGATAGGCGCTATTCAGACTTGCCTCACAAACCAGGAAGACATTTGGAAACATGCGATTACAACTTCCGACGGGCTTTGTTCTAGGAAGATGAGAAAATGTCCCAGTTTTCTTCATCTCCATGTCATTGTATTGTTCCGTTATGCTCGGCAAATCAACAATTCCAACCATACCTCAGTTTTCATAATTTCCCCCTGACACACAACTCCGAGTGCACTGGGTACATGTGATTAGAAGAGATGAGAGATGAGACTACGTCTGCAGTCTTCATTTTACCAATGATCACATTTACTTCAGTGAGTTTGATCACAGTCGGTGAGTCCAGTGTCGTAACTACACTGGAAGTTTCATCCCATCTTTCCAAACCTCTTCCCGGTTTGTGACTTAAGAGTGAATAGAGCCTATTGTGTTGTGAGAGCGCTCTGAAGGGGGAGTGACAGAAAAGAAATATTAAAATAAAATATTTTTTTAAATAATAAGAGGCAACATGGTGACCTAAATATGTTAAGTTTTTGCAGACAATACCCCACAGAAGTGTAATACTCTATCTGGAATGTGAAACATGCATGATTCACCTCTTCACAGATCTGACCTGAAATTTGGCTTGGTGTGTTCACCTGTCAGTCTTCGATAGGTAACTTTAATGCTGTATTGTGGAACATTCAGCATCAATGCAATCTCCATAGAGACAAGCTTGTGGTGGGCAATAACATTGTGCACTTTAATCTAAAAACATTTGAACAGGCTCAGTTGGTATGTTGGCTTGTTTGTCCACTGAGCTGAAGGTTGGCGGTTTGAATCCTGTTCTTGACATAAACATCTTTGGTTGAGCAACTAACCCACAGGTTTGTGGTGCAATAAATGCTGTTGTGGTGTCCTCGGGCAAGACAGTTGACCCATCTGTTCCGTAGTGTCTGTGCTCACTGGTGTGAGTGAATGTGTGAGTGAATGTGTGTGTGAATGCCGGGGTGAGTGGTTCCTTCAGGTAAAACACTTTGAGTGCCTTGAATGTGGAAAAGTGCTATTTAAAAATCACTCCACAAACTCTTCATTGTGCCTTGATACTTTTGGTGGTAAGTCTTTGTGTGTTCTTTCAGGTGTTCACTGGTATCTTTGCTGGGGAGATGTTTGCTAAGCTGATCGCCATGGACCCGTACTATTACTTCCAGGAGGGGTGGAACTGCTTTGACGGCTTCATCGTGACGCTGAGTTTAGTGGAGCTGGGTTTGTCTGATGTGGAGGGCCTGTCTGTGCTCAGGTCATTCAGATTGGTGAGTCCAACCTGAGAAATGTCATTATGAATTATTTCTATTAGCAATTTAATGTATCGAAGTTCTTAGGTCATATGTAAAAAACTAAACATCTAACCCTGTAGAACTCCAGAACATGACATTTTAATCAGCTTCATTTAACACAAAAATAGTTTGATAGTTAATAGTTGAGTTACTTTTCTTAAAATTGACAATTTGAAACAGTTGGATCTCAATTTAATTATAAAATGTGATTCATTGTACGTATAGTCTTAATTTGAGTCTATTACACTGACACAATGTTCCTAAGGCATACATAGGAAGCACAATGTTAGATTTAGGAATTTTTATTATGTGATCATTAGCATTTAAGATCATTTTTGCACAGATCTCTATGTAAATAAGCAGAACACCAGAAGGGTACAAATAAGGTCAACTGAACTGAAAGGTCAGATTACTGGAGAGGTTTTACTAATCTTCTTGTATTTGTTGTGTTCCAGTTGAGAGTGTTCAAACTGGCTAAGTCCTGGCCCACCCTGAACATGTTGATAAAGATCATTGGGAACTCTGTGGGAGCTTTGGGAAACCTGACTTTGGTGCTGGCCATCATTGTCTTCATCTTCGCCGTGGTGGGGATGCAGCTGTTTGGGAAAAGTTACAAAGACTGTGTGTGTAAGATCGCCGAAAGCTGTGAGCTTCCACGCTGGCACATGAACGACTTCTTCCACTCCTTCCTGATCGTGTTCCGGGTGCTGTGTGGAGAGTGGATCGAGACCATGTGGGACTGTATGGAGGTGGCAGGTCAAACCATGTGTCTCACGGTCTTTATGATGGTCATGGTCATCGGGAATCTGGTCGTGAGTATTTGACCTATATGAGTTTCAGGCATAAGAGTTTGAGGTTGAGCGATACGGGTTTTTCCATGGCAGATGCCCATTGTTTAAAATACAGAGCAACTAAAGGCCGATGAGCTCTACCGATATTTTTGGGCCAATATGTTGTTTGATTGTTTACCCCAAATTATGTAATTTAATTTTACTACAAACCCACAGCCCCACTTTTTTTTTACCACTAACCTATAAAAGGGCTGTACAGTCACATTTTGTGCAGCTATCTCTTTGTATGTAAAGATGTTTTAAGCAGCAAATTCACAAAAACAAAATATCAGCCTATACTGGAGATTTAAAGCCACTAGCTGATATGCTAAAAAGTCCAAATATTGGCCTTATATATAGACGACAACTGATATTCTTTAGTGAACTGAAGGATTTGGCATGAGAAGGATCCTTTGACATCTCATGAGTCAAGCACTTTTTGCTTATAAATTTCTAAATTATAAGTAAAGTTACCCTGCTAATAGAGGAGAGGAAATAATCGTGTCTGTGCACAGCAACGCACTAACTAGCTCACTGTGTCTCAAAGCTAAGGCACTTTTATTAAAATCATAAAATAAAAAATAAACAACCTATTAAATTAAAATAGATTAAAATCAAGACTACACAATTGTTTTCATGTGTGGAATACTTCAGTTTGCAGTGTTGTTTTAATATTTAGTATGCCAACATTAGCATTAGCATTAGCATTAGCATTAGTAATAAAACACAAATCTTTCCCTTTGTAAACACAAAAGTGCCCTTTAGTAGTATTCATTTGATTAGTGTACTTTTGAACATGTTGTCAGTGACGTCCATCCACAGCTCCTGTTCACTGTCTCATCTTTAAATATTTATTCATTTAGCACGACTCAGCAAAAACCCTATAGATATACAACTGGACAGGAAGTAGTGATGCTAACAGTGTGGTTTCCGGGCGCTTTTGTGCACAGAGCCTCAGTCAATCGTTGGGGAAGTTGTCCCAGATCAGGGGTGGCTAGTGAGAAGCTTCACCTGCAGATACAGCTATTAAAAACAACTCAGTGTCTGTGTGGATTACTTTAGGTGTTACTAAATTCAGGTGAAAATTTCATGTCAGCACCAGCTGTGGGTTTTCCACAGCCATGTGTGGAGAGTCTGTGTAATGTAATGTGATATGTCCAATACCATTTGCACATGCTTTATATTATTGCTTTAAAATGTTCACATTATTAGATGCTTATATATTCTTGCATAAGTTCTGTATCTGATTCTAGCTCTCCTTTTCTCGTTGCTGTTCAGGTGTTAAATCTGTTCCTGGCTCTGCTGCTGAGCTCTTTTAGCGCTGATAACCTGGCAGCCACAGATGATGACGGAGAACCCAACAACCTGCAGCTGGCCATGGCCCGAATCCACAAGGGAATCGCCTGGTTCAAACTCAACATGAGGGCCCTGGTCGCACAGGTGCTCAAAAAGGTACACAGCAAACCAAGCTCCTATTGACCAGAAACATGTGATCTCATGGATCTATAGACACAAAAAACAGATATAGACAGTTCTGCACACTTCAAAGTGACGTTCCGGAAGTAAATTTCCCATTCATTAAAAAAAAATAAAATAAAAGATCCTGTAAACTTTCAGAAAAAAAAAGAAAATTGAAAGCTTGCTGGGGGCTATGAGGGAGCTATTGACAATACCTGTAATTTTATTTAAATCTGATTCTGAAACTTTATAAAATGATTTTTTACATTTTAAATGTGTTTTGGACAGTAGTTGCCTTTACTTGAAGGCATTAGATTGAATTGTTGAATATTTACTTTCAGAACGGCTGTGATTTCAAAGTTGGCAGGGCTGTTGAGTTTATTCTGTTTGATCTTCTTGATTCTTTTAGCCTGTGTTTTAGAGTCTGTATAATTCAGTTAACAATGATCAAAATATGATTACAATTATTTCACCAGCAAGGCCCAAACCGCAGCAATAGTATACAATAAAGAGATTTATTGATGGGTGATATGGATAGATGTGGTTGAGTAAAGACCCAGATTGGAGTGTGTGACTCCTCCTCTGTGGATGATGAGGTCGTCTGGCTAAAAAGAGATGAACAAGAGACACTGAGAGAGAGGGAAAGAGAGGGAGGGTTTGAGAGAGCACTGACAGATTGTGTTATCATTTTAATAGCTGACTAGTCATGATTATTCTGACTAACAGTCCAACACTTAAAGGGCCTAGATTAAGTTTTCTGATCTATGTTAGATTTCCTCATCACAAACAGACCTGGAGTCGTATTTTGTTTCATTCACACGTGTTTAACCCACCAGTCCTGCATATTTAGTAATTAGTTAGTTCTTCTCTCAAACTGAAAACTCTGTACCGCCTTGATAATACAGGAATTGCTCCACTGTGTTTTTAAACTCCATACATCTTCACTAGAATCATTTTTATAATTTCAGTCCCAGTCAATCTCTACAAAACAAAAAGTTAAAGGAGCTGTTAACTTGAAAACTGCACAAAGTGGAGCAGAGTATTTTGAGCTTTGAAGATATATTAAACACTTTAATAATAAATGGTTACCTAAAATTAAGAACACATTTTTGTCCCTGTCTCCCTCAGCCCATGGAGGACGAGCAGAAGCCGTTGGACGAGATGTATGAGGAGAAGCTCAAATGCATTGCCAACCACACAGTGGACATAAACCGCGAGATGGGGGACTACGCCAAAAACGGGAACGGCACCACCAGCGGCATCGGGAGCAGCGTGGGCAAATACATGATCGACGAAGACTACATGTCCTTCATCCATAATCCCAACCTAACCGTGTGTGTGCCGATCGCTGTGGGAGAATCCGACTTTGAAAACCTGAACACGGAGGACTTCAGTAGTGAATCAGACATGGAAAACAGCAAAGACGTGAGTACTGGGACAACAACATCTGCTATGAGACTATTTAAAGGGCCCATCTCATGCAAAATAACTCTTTTCACATTGTATCTTCTGCACATATTCAAGCACTATTTGGGTTTTGAAACATTCATTACACAATAGTTCTGAAATCTTACTGATTTCTTGGAGGCGTCACAGACCAGGAACTATGAAAGGTCGACTATTGCTCACCCCCCGCCCGTCCTGAGAAAGCACAGGCTCCACCCTCCAACGTAGGCTCTGAGTGAGCCGCCCTTCCTCCGCCCATCTCAGGGAGGGAGGGGGAGACAGGCGTGCGCCCTGATAGTGGTAGGAATAAACTTTTATTCATCATGGCGATATAGCGCGTTCAGCCGCATGTATTGGACCCAGAATTGGACGAGGAATTTAAGGCGCACGAAGCTCAAGCACCGCGTTGACATCAGCTGAATATTACTGATTGGTAAAGTATTAATAAACACTAGTAGATCAACTTATTATATCATGTTCACTGCAGTGTAGAACAATGAGCTTATGCTGTCGCTTTTGTTTAGGTGTTCATGTGGGAATTGTCAGCTGATGTGGGGTGGAGGCGGGGCAGAGGGAGTGAAGCGGGGGAGGGGGTCGGGTGTGAAGCACTTTCTGCTACGTCAGACGCATCATAGGTGTAGCTACCGCGTCATCGTTGTAGCAGCTTTAGTTCGTTGTCACATGGGAGGGTGGCAGAAATACGCTGCAATTTGTTAAAAAAAAAAAGCAGAATCAATCTTAAAAAAACACTTTGGCAACATATACAAGGCTCACACATCACTCTTAGAAGGTAAAAAGCTCTGAAAAGTTTATTTTGCATGAGTGGCCTTTCATAGTTCCTGGTCTATGACTGCCTCCATGAAATCAGTAAGATTTCATAACTATTGTTTAAGTATGTTCCAAAACCCAAATTGTGCTTGAATATGTGCAGAAGATACAATGTGAAAAGAGTTATTTTACATCAGATGGGCCCTTTAAAGCAGCTCTGGTATGTTTACAGAGTTTCCCATAGATTTTACTGTAACTATGGCAGCTGGTGTATAGTATAAAATGTTCATGGTATGGCAGTACACCATGGAGGTAAGTATCTCACTTGTGTTACAATGCAGTGAGTAGCAGTTTATTTATTTATTTATTTATTTATATATTTATGCCAATGATTAGTCCAAATTGTTTTTGACTATGGAAGACATTTTAGACTATGGGTGCCACTATAGTTTCCTATTAAATGATGTTTTCGATTATGAATTTTGCTCACTAACAATGGCAATAATTTATTCTGACTGACAGCATTAGCAAACTCTAGTTCAGATTCATCCTGTCCAGCCAATCAGATTTTTTTTTTTCTTTGGATCAAAATTTTCTCTGTAGTTAAAAATGTGCACTGTGGTCTTAATACTTAATGCTGCCTTGAAATGTGACCTGATGAAACCTGTCACGATAATGAATATATCTACTTCCTGTTCAATACATTTATCATTTGCAAATTTCTTTGCACCACTGGAAAATTTGTGGTTTATTTATTTTATTTTTTTGCTATATGATTTGAGATTTGAAGGTTGAATGAATAACTTCTATGACTCATTACAGATGTTTTACTGCAGCTTTGGTGTTTTTTAACAATATTGCAGATTTACAATAGTTTGGTTAAAATCTACTCTTGGGTTATTGTGTCAGTGGCATAAATTAGATACTTAGACTTAGACAAAGACACACTTTATTGTTACACCAGGGAAATGAGTTGGACACAGTTGCTCTCACATTGCAATATAATATAATAACAAACTGTCAAAAATATAAATGATAATAATACATTCTAAATAAGTAGCAAAAAAGAGAAGGCATAATTATATAAATGTAATGTACAATTCAAAATAAAATAGAAAGTAAGTCATAAAAAATCTCAGCTCTGTACAAGAGGTTATCATTTATTTTCTATATTTTCTTCAGCAATATATCATGCTTCAAAATTTGTTTTCATAACAGGCCTATGTCTGATTTTGACTGGCCATGTGGTCTCTGTATTTTTTTTTTACATCGGTCTGTGGGAGTTACATCATAATGTGCTCTGAGTGCATTGATGTGGCTCTACCTGTGAGCTGGTGTAACATTAGCCCGTGTGCTGAGGCTGCAGGAGCAGAGGCAGCACAGCCACCATGTTGAGCGGGGCAGTCTAGTGGTTTAAAGTCACCTTGACCTGGTTTGGAGTAAAATACAAACACATAGTGCTGCACTGGTGGTTTCGTGCACTAGGTCACAGGGATGTAACAGTGTGGCAATACTGTGGCCAATCTCAATATATCGCATTACAGTTACATCTGCTTAAAGAGGGCTATTATGCAAAATATTTTTTTTAATTTTGCTTTCTACCATCACCCATACTCCCACACAACAAGTGTCCATAAATATACAGAAACATGATACAAAACTGTACACAGTGACAGTACTTGACCAACCTGATACGATGTGCATTTTCATTAGCAGGATGCAAGATGCTCTGAAGGGGGAGTGACTTAATGCAGGCAGCAAAGAGAGGGGAGACTCAGAGTGTTAAAAATAAAAGTGAAATTTATAAACATGTTAATACATTGTTTCAGTGAATTATGGCTGTCGCGGTAAGGGAATTTCTCCTGTGGTGTGGTATAACTGCTCATATTTCCAGTGGCACTGAAAACTCTCTTTGATGATGCTCTTGTTGTGCAGATGCACATGTACCTTGGTTGTCTTGTGGATATAGCATGTGTAGCAGGAGAAGTAACATTTGGCTTTAGAACAAGTGCCGCTGCATCTCTCCAGCTCTCACTGTGGCAGCTCGGGTCAGAGTCCTGCACCGGTTCGGGTCAGAGTCCTGCACCAGGCCAGGTATCTGCGGACTTACGAGAGAAAGAACCCTAAGCCCGCGGAGCAGGTGTCCGCAAAGCACACTTACCTCCTTAACTCCGGTGGAGTTCTACGTGGGTCCTTTTGCCTGTGGTCACTCAATGGTCTTCGCGGGCGCACCTTAGTCCTGGGTTAGTCCTGGGTTAGTCCTGGGATATCATGGCCACGGGCGGTAACAGGTTGAATGTTAATTGGTCCGGGCGGGTGCCAGTCTCTAAAAATGGACCCATACAGGACTCTGGGTCGGGTCACTTGGTCACGTGCGGTGATCGTGGTGGCTCAACATGCACCGCGGTGATTCATTTTTGCGGTTATTGCGACAGCCCTACAGTGAATATAGCATTTTCAAAACCTCATATAAGTAAAGTACCCCTCTTTAATTATTTAGTTTATGACAGAGTCAATGACTTGTCAAGGCATTTTAAAAGGAAAAAATGTCACTCACTTTAGATTTTAATTTTATGAATAAAATATTGCAATAAATATTGTGGAAATATGGAGAGGTTTGGATACGCTGCATCCCTCTTCGGTTGTATGTGCTCCAGCAGTGGGCTTCAATGACAAAGCTAAAGAATAAAGGTTATTTGGTGTAGCGGAGGAGTAGGATCTGAATGCGCTTGCTTTGCTGACTCGGGTGGACTGTAAAGTGCACTATCATTCTCCAGTGAATTAAATGAGTCTATGGCCCAGTGCAATAACAAGACTGCTGCTGTGCTGTTAGGCCCCTATTCAACCTTGATGCATGGTGTTTCTATTAGACACACTACATAGAATAATGACGAGGTAATAGCAATGATGAGTTATGCACTTGGCAAAATTAATTATATGCACCCTTTGGTTTGAAATACATGGAGTCCTCTAGTATGTTTTAATTAAGATGCACACTGTTTCAGGTAATATTCCAAATGTGCACAAAACATACAGATGCAGTTTATTAAAATATATTACATTTCAAACTTGATTAAAAAAATAAACAATACTATTAAAAAGGTTGTGTCAAATTCAAGTGGTCAAACTGGGACAGAACTGCATGAACTCCACATGAAATACATCATTTGAATAGGCCTGTTATTTAAAAGCAGCAGTGAGTATAATAAATACTGTTTATTGCACGCACATAATACTGTACTGTATATTGCGCATAGTACTGTATATTGCACATAATACTGTATATTGCACATGGTACTGTATATTGACAGAATAAGGAGGTAGCTAAAAGTAAAAAAAAAAAAAAAAAAGACAGTCAGTAATAATGAGTCTTTACTTTGTCTGTCAGTGTGACTGTGGCGGGGGAGGCTCGTCTACAAGCGTGTGGTGTCAGTCCTCTCCCAGTATTTGGTCAGTTAACCAATCATTTAATCGAGGCAGTTGCACATCAGGCTGCTATAATGAAAAGGGAGTAAAACAGACCCTTTAAAAATGTGTAAACAAAAACAAAATATCGAAATGGAAGTGCCTGGAGTCAAAAGCAAAGTGAACATAATGCAGTTTTAATGGGGAGTTTGGGATTAGCCTCAGAATGTCATAAAATGTGAAAAAATAATGTACTAAATGAAAACCACTCAGCTACAGTGAAAACAGAACAATGAGAAGAGACTTTTTGTTCAGCTAAAGGGAAGTTATTACCCAATTCAGATTTTTAGGTTCTACTTGACAAATACTTTAGACTTAAAAATGTTAACCCTTATAATATATTTTCATTTTTATAACATCCTTCACCCCAAATTCAACTTTTTGTAACTTTTTGCTGCTAGAAAACTGAAACTAACTGACATTTGTGTGGTGAAATGGTCCAGCTGCTCAGCTCTGTTGTGTTGATGTGTACATTGACTGCAGCTCTAGTGGGCTCTGCAGTTTTCCAACCATGAAGTCAACCAACTTATTTCTTTTATTAAGTAGTTTGAGATCAATAATGTGCAGTGTTGGGAAGGTTACTTAGTTTGTAACGTAATCCATTAAATTATTAAAGGTGAGTAATGTAATCTGAATACTTTGGATTACTGGATTTGCTGTAGAGAAGCAAAGACTAGGATATCGTAACATAAGATGTTTTGTCTGCTAAAAGAAAATAAAAAGCCCAGACTTTACTGAACCGTATTAAAAATATTATTGATAGAAGAGGAGGAGACATGTCCGTGCAGCATGGTTTAGTCTTGTTAAATCCTGTTAAATCCTGTTTTTTAGTCCTGGTTTAGTCCTGGTTTAGACCTGGTTTATTTTCCAGCAATGAGTGGAATAAAAAAAAAAAAAAAAGGGGGATATAGCCCAAAATGTGAAAACAGGAAAATACTGTCATGCAATCCATTTATTTCACTGTAATCCAATTACCACTCATTAAAGAAGTAACTGTAACCGAATACAGTTACTCATAATTTGTACTCTGATTACGTAACTCCGGTACATGTAATCTGTTACTCCCCAACACTAATAATGTGTGATTTAAAATGTCAAAAATTTGACATAAAGATCCACTGGTCTCATAGATTATACTTGTGTAGCAGACAAGTGCACAATATGTTTTCTTTAACATTCTTATTTGCTCTGATGTCCGTTCATGTTTAAAAATGTGATATGGTCTACTTTTGATGATGACATTTTTTAGGGTCTATTCATGAGTTTCTGAATGGTGAGAAATTAAGGCAATTTCCATAGCGATGAACAAATCAAAAGCAAATATTATATGTTTTAAATGGGTTTGTGTTTCCTCGAACAGGAAGTTGAAATCCATGGACAGAAAAGCCCCATACAGAAATCCATGGATGACTCACCAGGCCCTGCTCTAAACCGTGAATCACATTTGAATCTAAAGGGACAGCTGAGTAATGGCTGAACTGGCAACATGCCCTGTCCCTCATATAGTCAAGAGGGAGGAACAAGTCAATGGCAGACTGTGAGCTTTAAAGGGGCACTGTGTAACTTTTCTGGTGGAAGGGACATCACCCGCTTGTCTTCATGGAGATGTTATTGCTTTCTTTGCTAGGAATATTCCACGGTATTATTTATCTATCTCCAGTGTTGGGAAGGTTACTTTTAAAATGTATTCCCCTACATATTACAGATTACAGACCCCAAAATGTAGTCTGTAATGGAATCCATTAAGCTACTTAAGGTGAGTAACGTAATCTGAATATTTTGGATTACTTGATTTGCTGTAGAGAAGCAAAGACAAGGATATCGTAACGTAAAATGTTTTGTCTGATAAAAGAAAATAAAAAAGTCCAGTCTTTACTTAACCATCTTAAAAATATTATTGATTGAAGAGGAGGAGACACGGTCCATGCAGCATGATTTAGTCCTGTTAAATCCTGTTTTAGACCTGGTTTAGACCTGGTTTTAGTCCTGGTTTAGTCCTGGTTTAGTCCTGGTTTATACCTGGTTTTAGACCTGGTTTGGACCTGGTTTAGACCTGGTTTAGATCTGGTTTAGATCTGGTTTTAGACCTGGTTTTAGACCTGATTTAGACCTGGTTTTAGACCTGGTTTAGACCTGGTTTAGACTTGGCTTTAGACCTGGTTTAGACCTGGTTTTAGACCTGATTTGGACTTGGTTTTAGACCTGGTTTAGACCTGGTTTTAGACATGATTTAGTGTTTGGCAGTGAGTGGAATTACCAGGAAAAAAAAGGGGGGGATATAGCCCGAAATGTGAAAAAAGGAAAATATCGCCGTGTAATCTATTTATTTCAACAAAGTAACTGTAATCCAATTACCACTCTGTAACTGTAACTGAATACAGTTACTCATAATTTGTACTCTGATTACGTAACTCCAGTACATGTAATCTGTTACTCCCCAACACTGTCTATCTCCATGGAGACAAGCACATTCCAGGCAAAGGAACAACATCTGTATGGAGAGAAGTTGCATGTTCTCCCTGTGTCTGGTGGGTTTCCTCCAACGCTCTGCTTTTCCCCCATCAACCCCAAACATGCACTATAATTTGAATCCTCCAGCTAAGGTCCTAACCAAGACTAGCTGAAGATCTAGTCAAATGCAAAGGAAACCCATCCAGACACATGAATAACATAAAAGATCCAGCCATGTCCCTTCTACATACATATTTGAGATTGTGATAGGTCATGTAATGTTAAAGTGTCACACATATGTCATAAGTTACTCATGATTGTTGTCCTTTCTTCTCTATGTGTTTAGCTGGATGACACAAGCTCTTCAGAGGGCAGCACCATTGACATAAAGCCTGACGTGGAGGAGGTGGCTGTGGTGGAGGTGGTGGAGGAGTACCTCGACCCAGAGGCCTGCTGGACAGACGGTACAGGAGATACATTTATATTTTTCATTAAAAGAGCTCCTATCACTCTCTTTTCTAATCTATGTTGTACTGTTCCTCATCACAAACACACCTGTTGTGGTTTGTCTTATCCACACACGTTTTCACACAAACCCTGCATATTTAGGATAAATTTTGTCCAGAGCCTGGGTTGTTGACTCTCATCTTATCAGGAAGGATCATGGGAAATGTTCAACACAATGCCTGACAGTTGTTTGTCTGTCATGGTGCATTTGCAAAGTGAATAGAGACTGATGGAAACTGTGTGGAAACAACTACATGACACTATCTCAGGCAGTTGTTTCCTTGTCATGGTAGAGTATCAAAGTGGTTGAAAGGATTAAATGGGCAGGGCTACAGTTTACACTCAAACATGTTCCTCACGCATGGTGTAAGGTGAATATGGCATGTTTGTGGTGCATAAGTAATGATAAACTTCAACAATTGTGGATCATGTGTTTGAATATTCTTTAGTTCTATAGGCCCCTGCTTTCCCTCTCAAATAATAACAATCAATTTCTAGACGCAAACACAACCACGCACAAAACACATCCTCTCACATGTGTGTATGTCTGTGCAGAGTGCGTGGCCAAGTACAAGTGCTGTGACGTGCCCATCACTCACGGCTGGGGGAAGTACTGGTGGTTCCTCAGAAAAACTTGTTACCTCATCGTGGAGCACAACTGGTTTGAGACGCTCATCATCTTCATGATCCTGCTCAGCAGCGGAGCCCTGGTACACACATACACACACGCACGCACACGCACGCACACACACACACACACACACACACACACACACACACACACACACACACACACACACACACACACTGCAAAAAAGCTTGGCCAAAATATAAGATATAAACACTTAAATCTATCAGAAAATGACTTAAAAGTAGTGAAATTATCTGTCCATGCAGCAAGATCATTTTACTTGACAAGTTTTCTAAACCACCTTTAGACTAGAATTACGCAGCCTCAGGACTAGTAAGTAGATAATAAATCTGACAACAAGGTGAATAACCTGATAAACCAAGCTGCTTCCAGTAAACTTAAAGCTTTGATTCAGACCCCACCGGTCCTGGCCCAGCCACAAACACAGCTCAGTTTCCAGGTTCACTGTAACTTTAGTGTTGTGGGCCTGGGAGCTGTCCTCATGCAGACTGTGGACAGTGAAGACCGCCCCATTGCCTTCGCCTCCAGAGGTGCTGAAGTCTGTTATTCCACAGCTGAGAAAGAATATCTGGCTGTTGTCTGGGCTGCTGAAAAGTAGAAGCATTTCCTCAAAGTCACCACCTTTAATGTTTACACAGACCACAGTGCTCTGGCCTGGGCGTTCAACTGTCCCCAGACATCCTCACGGCTCACATGAGGGACTCTGCGGCTCCAAGCTTTCACATTCCGGGTCCACTATAAAAAAGGCTGCTGCAATGTTGTTCCAGATGCCCTCTCTCATTCACCTCAGCCACCCATTAGAAATATGGGTCTTGCTGTTCCAAAAACATACTGGTCAGATAATCCAAGCTAAGTCCAAGAAATCGCAGATGCCTAAAAGTTGAAACAGAACACAGTCGTGGCTGTATTCACTACCAACTTCAGCAGGATGTGTGGTACAGAGGAGTACCATTTAAGCACAGGGGCTACAACTACCAACTAGTGGTCCCTGCTGTGCTGCTGCCACAGTTCCTCACATATTTCCACAACAGTGCTTTTGATGGGAATTGTTAAAGATACTTCAGGTGACATGATGGCTGGCAATACGCAAAGATGTTTAGGGTCATGTCCGCACTTGCAGCATGTGCCAGCAAATACAAAAGCTCCAACAAAAAGCCAGCAGGTGTCATCCAGTCATCTGAGGTCAAAACCCCGGTGGAGATGATTGGAGTAGTCTTCATTGGCCCTTTTCCACTAAGCAGAGACTGGAACTCAATGCTGATGGTGGTTGTGGACTGTTTTAGCAGACTGTTTGCTCTGAAGGATGCAAAAACCCCAAAAGTCTGCAAGATTTTGAAAAATTAGATCTTCACTTGCTGGGGGTTCCCAAGTTCATGGTGTCTGATCAAGGACTCCAATTTACAAGTCAGCCATTGTCCCAAATGTGCAAGGCCTGGGGTGTGACTCTAAAACTCACCACAACCTATCACCCCCAAACCAATATGACAGAGAGAGTCAATGAAGACCATGATTGTCTTCTATGTTGGGAACCACCATCAGGATTGGGATAAGTGGTTGCCTGAGTTTCAGTCGCCCTCAACACTGCTGTGCACGAGACCTCCCACACAAAGGGCAGAGAAACATGTCCAAAGCTAGACAAACCAGATACTACAACGCATTTTGCAGGGATGTACACTTTGTAGTCAGTAGTCTGGCCTGTCCAGTTCTCTGCCAAACTTGCCCAGATGTGTAGGGCCTGCTAAGGTAGAGAAGAAGTTAGGACCTGTCAACTACCAAGTATGATGGTTAACAGATCAGTTAAAAGTTTTACAGCTATGGTAACTATGGTACACATCACATCACCAGGATACTCAAAAAACCTGATCAAAACCGGGACACTCAAGTGCATGTATACACTCACTGACCTAACATCTAAAAGCTGAGCCAAACCTCTTTTGTTTCCAGGCATTTGAAGATGTGTACATTGAGCAGAGGAAAACAGTGAAGATCATTCTGGAGTATGCAGACAGAGTGTTCACATATATCTTTATCCTGGAGATGTTACTCAAATGGGTCGCCTACGGATTTGTCAAATATTTCACCAATGCCTGGTGCTGGCTTGACTTCTTCATTGTGGATGTAAGTCTAACACAGTTTTAATACTTCATGTTATTCAATTTGTCTCCACAGAAATACAAAATTCTACAAATGGTTAAATACAAGAACATGTGATATTTTGTAGTAATTTTAAACTCAAATGTTTACATTTTAGATTTTCTCATATTACATTATTTTGTGCTCTGTGTTATAATGTTGTATCCTCGTCAAAACCTGGAGTTGTGTTTTGCTTCATTAACACACAAACCCTGCATTTGGACTGTGTTCTTCTCTCAAAATGAAAACACTTTGTTTCATGTGATGTCATTGAGTGGTGATACAGTAAGTGCTCCACTGTGTTTTTAAACTCCATACACCTTCACTAGAATCATTTGGATAATTACATCCATGGAATTGCCAGTTTCACCTGAACAAAAGGAAAAAGGAGCTGTTCACTTGAAAACCACCACTACATGACATCACAAGTTGGAACAGAGCATTTTAAGCTTTGGAGACAAACAGGGTTACTCAAACGTAGGTGAATGAAACAAAATACATCTCCAGCTCTGTGTTCGATGAGGTAACAACATTAGAATATGGCTTAAAACTCACAAGAGTCAGTTTTGCATGATATAGGACTACAGTATGTAAGACTTAATTTCAGGAGATGAAATGTCATGAAAAGTAGCATGTGTTTTAGTTCATGATGTGAGTCTATGATGGAAAGCTCGGCTGCACAATATTCAGCATGATTAAAACCATCCCGTACTGAACTTATATATGTCACATGCTTGTCTCATGGGGACATGGTGATTATGGAAATTTAAACATCTCTCTGGGGAGACAAGCAGGTGACACCACAGGTATTTCTTTTTAGTTGTACAAACGTCTGTGCTTAAATAAATACATAAATGCATGATAGATAAGTTTAATACCGTTCTATGTAAAAACATGTAAATAAATAACACAGAGCACGAAGATACACAGTGGATTTTCTGTGCTGATCAAATTAACAAACTGTGATTTATCTCACGTAAAAGAAGTTACATATTTTGACAGGTGGATTAACCAATCAGAGAGATGCATGGGCCATTTGTGTCCAAACAGATATGGCCTTTCATGAATAAAAAAAGGCAACCAAAAATGTGTTCATTTATTATTATATTTTCCTGATATTGGCCCATACCCATATCAGAACATATCTCTACTGTAAACCCCATAACACCCCGAGGGGAAGGCATGGATGAAGCTACAGTTTGAAACATGATTTTGTTGTATATTGTGCAGCCCTGTCAAGAAGTTACTGTATCTTCATTGATTTGTTATTTGGGCTGCAAGAGTCAATTGAAAAAGTGAAACAATTAGCAAATCCTTGTGAATCTTGCAGCCCTATAGAGCTCTACTGTACTTACACTGCAGACATTAAACACCTAGTCTGGCTTCAAATGACTTGAATTCTCTCACCTTATGCATTCTGAATATTCTTATTATCCTTATTATCCTTATTATTATTATTATTATTATTAGTAGTAGTAGTAGTAGTAGTAGTAGTAGTAGTAGTAGTAGTAGTAGTTTGTAAGGACATTTCACAATTTTCAGAGGCTAAAGTGGAGATTTGCTGTCAAGGTAACGTTAACAACCACTAGCATTCTGATGCTGCACTTCCTGATTATTGGACAGTGCATATAATTCGATGCAGACAGTACACAGCAGATTTATTTGGAGCTGCTTATACAATCGATGAGCACTGGGGCAGAATACATTTTGCTCAAATCCATGGGTTAGGGTTTGTGCCCACAGAAACTGAACGTGCAGTATGAAACTTTTCTGGTGGCGCTTGTCTACATGGAGATGTTATGGCTTTGCCTGAAATGTTACACAGTGTGGCATTTAACGTAACTCTATCTTCATGGAAACAAAAGGTTAACTCTACCCTGGCAAGTTGCAGTTCAGTCACAGTAAGAATGCACATGTTTTTGAGCAATAGAAACACACATGGGAGATAGGTATTTTATATGAAAATTGGGTTGTCAAAAGTACTGAAAATACTAATTGATTCTAAAACTAGTATGGAAACTAGATCCTCATTTGAGCATGTGACTCTTGTGATTAAAACAGTCGCACTGACAGGACAGAAGTGAACGTTTCCTGAATAGTTGTAGAGAGATCTTGAGCTGTATAAGAAGCACATAGACTAGTAACCACACATGGACACTATGAACTTACTGCACCACTGAGGGTTACACACATATAAGACACATGGGAATAAAAAAAGAAAGTGCTAACCTTTAATGTTAAAAATCACATTCTTTTGTCTAAATAAAGAGTTTTTAATTATCATAGTAATATCGGAATCTGTATCGAGTCTATTACTTAGTATAGAAATTGAGTTTGGAGCTTTAGTGTTGTAGCAACACTACATGCAAAGCAATAATATCTCCACAGAGACACACTGAGGGCAGATCTTCCAGCAGAATAGTTACATTTAAGATTATTATTTAGAATTGAAGTCATTTTAACTGGTCTAGACATTGATTTTTGCAGTGTAGGATTTGCCTTTGCTTGTTGTTGACGCGTGCTCTGACCTGTTCCCTTCTTTTGCAGCCGGTTTGAATATAACTGTGTCTCTCTTAAAGTAGAGAGAGTATAGCGCCGCCTGCGGGTGCTTCCGGTGCTGCAGGGGTAAGGCTCAGTGTCATGTTGAGACTTTCACAGGTTATGCCCTTTGACCTTTGACCCTGAAAGTGTCCTCAACCTCTGCCTTTCTCTCCCCACTTGGAGCTTTGGTGTGGACCGTGTACTGTTGTGTATCGTGACCATGTTGAATATCGTGTGTGTTTCTGTGGGTTTAGTGTTTTGTGAAGACATCTCCTCTTTCCCCTTCGTCTGACTCTCTCTTCACTTTGTCAACCACAAGTTTTTTTCCAGGTGTGCTCACTGTGCTGTTAAGCTGGTTGTCACCTCACACTGGCTTGCCAAACTAAACCAAACAAACACAAAAGGACAAATCTGGGCCTATATGAGCTAACCTGTAGAGGATAAGATGGCGCCCCCTGGATGTGATGTATGTGTAGTGTAACCTGTAGGTCTCTAACTGTGGCTCCTCTCTCCTCTGCCCCTCCCCTCTGTCCCATGTGTAGGTGTCTATAGTCACCCTTATAGCTAATGCACTGGGCTACTCCGATCTAGGCCCGATTAAGTCCCTCAGGACACTGAGGGCCTTGCGGCCCCTCAGAGCCCTTTCACGTTTTGAAGGGATGAGGGTAAGACCCCAGACACCAGGCCTTCTGCATGTCTAACTTTACACGCATGCTGGAGCCAACCAAGCAGAACCAACCAAAGATCTTTAAACTTCAAGAGGGAATCTGGCCTTTTCTCCACAAGGAGCTTTTGCATGAATGCAGATCATCTCAGATGTTCTTAAAGCATCTGATTTGATTCACCATTTCATTTCATTTATTTTACTGAAAACAAAAGAAGCAATTTGCAATCAAAAGTAATGTCTTCTCAAACCAATGTTCAGCGCTTTAAAATTACCTCACAGAAGTGGTGAAAATGAACCAAATGATCAGAAATGTCTTTACATTTGTAGCACAGCAATCCAAGGGTCATTTGAGGATGAACAAAAGAGGAAATTGAATTTGATCCAAACGTGTGTACAGACGGTGCATCTCTGTTGCATGTCAATGACCCCTGAGTAGCTGTGTCTCCTCTGGAGCAGCACTGAAGCATGTTCACTGTCTGAGCTGGTGCAGTCTCTGCTTGTTGCTGGGAAGAAAAACTCCTGACTGACTTCTGTTATCTGACCTACCACAGTTTGGCTTTGGCATTGTCACACTGGAAGATCTACAAACTTCTGGTTGCATTCCCCTCCCCTCCCCACCATCCCTGCTCACCAACCTGAATCCTCATTCCATTTTGATTTACCATTTTGCAACTGTTTTATATGTGTTACTTAAATCCTCTTAAAATCTTTAACAAAAACCTTAATTCAGCAATCTAGGAGCATGCAATCTCTCTGGAAATGCACATACACAGTCTCCTAAACCAAAACCAAAACCAGATCCGAAGACTAGTTCCTCTCAAGCCTGGTTTAGTCCTGATCAAGACTTTGTTTGGTTCTGTTTTAGTCATGGTTTAGTCCACATACAGAATTTTTATTTTCATTTACATTTTTATTCATAACTAGTAATGGAGTAACTGTGCCACTGAGGGTTGTGGGTTTGAATCCTGCTCTGCCGCTGTACCTTTGGCTTGGCATACGCTTGTAATTGTGAGTTATGTTCTTCACAGCTAAGAGACAATATGCCTACTCAAAATCAATAAGAAAAGCATGGGTCATGACAAAAACGTGAATTAAATACACTTTTCCTGAATTTTACTGTGGAAAAACAGAACTAGTACAATTTAAACTGTTTGTCTGAACTTTGAATAGAATCACATTATTTCAGACTCACATTGCAAGTCGAATCACAATCACAATGCTTGTCAGAAAATACAAATTTTCCCCAAATCTCCAGGAATAAACCAGGCTCTTGCTCAGTTAACCAAGCTGGAGAATTAGAGCATTTGAATGAAAAAACGGAGCAATGGAATGTGCATTTTTGTGTATGTTAACCTTTAATATTGCTATTGCATGTTGGGTCACTGCTCCTCTGTGTCCTGCCCCTTGCGTAGGTGGTGGTGAACGCCTTGGTGGGTGCCATCCCTTCCATCATGAACGTGCTGCTGGTGTGTCTGATCTTCTGGCTTATCTTCAGTATCATGGGAGTCAATCTATTTGCTGGGAAGTACTACTACTGCTATAACGAGACCGCCGAGGACCGTTTTAGCGTAGACATAGTCAACAACAAAACGCAGTGTCTGTATCTGATTAGTTTAAACTACTCCGAGGTTCGATGGAAGAATGTGAAGATCAACTTTGACAATGTCGGCTCGGGGTATCTGGCTCTGCTGCAAGTGGTAAGAGCCATTTTACAATATATTTAAGCAGACCTGACTTTTCAGCGCTTTGAAACGTGCTATAGATGTTTCCCCTGTGCATTTACCTTCAGAGTTGTATTTGGAGTGATTCATGCACGTTTGAGCAATCTTTAATTGCTTATTTTCAAGATGTCATATTGCCGATCAACAACCGTTTTCAGCGCCACCAGCATAAGCCCAAAATGTTATTTTCTTAAACTGTGCTACACGTAGGGTTTAGTAGTCATTTGGGTACAAACATAGACCGTATATATGAGTGGACAGAGCTAAAGCACTAGTCTCTGTGTGCCAAATAGGAAGTTCTCCAGGAGGCTCTTCCGGCTCCTTCTGACTCTGGCTCCAATTGACTTACATTGGGTTCTTGTGGCTTCTCTCTCTGTAACTGCTGCAGTGAGCCTCGTCATTTTTGTCTTAAAATGTTCGTATTAACCCATGACACATTTTTGCTGCTATTTTGTTCTTCACAAAAAATCTTATTCATAACATAAAACCTGGCTCCAGATTGGTTCCTGAAACCGTGAGCATCCCGAGCCTCATTTGAGCAACACTGAACGCTGTGGGTGACATCACACTCGCTTAGTCCACTTCTGTTATACAGTCTATGGGTACAAATGAATAAAAAAATCTGCGGCTCGCTAGTGTAGGAGGGGCCCAAGGCATGCGGTGCTTTGTGATGATGTTTACGCATTGTCAACTCCCACTGGGCACCGCAGTTTTCTTATGGCAGTGGAGTTTTATTTTATTAAGTTGTTTTAGAAAATTGTGATTTAAAATGTCTAAATTATAACAATGGTCCACAGGTGTCACTAGCATAATATGTCTTCTTTAAAGTTAAAGTGACATTCCGGAATTATGAACATAGGACCTCATTTCCTAGTGAGCGTGAGTGTTGGAGACGTGTGGAGACACTTTAAAAAAAATTCCATCCAGTCCTTGTATTTGCAGAGGTCGCTGGTGCTAGACTAGTGCATGTCAATGGCCATAGTTATCTTGCCACTAAAAACAGTCTTACCCACTCCACAAAACACCTGAAACAAATCTATTATTACACCAAACTGTCCATGTAAATGTCTGTGTTGATAGAATAATGTTTGACGTAAAACCAGCCTTGCATTTGAAGGATTTATGTCTGAGCAGCAGCAGAGTTGTTCTTCCTGATAGAAAGTTTGACAGCGGCGGACTGATATATGAGAAAACAGTCCCTCAACATGCGACGATTCATGATTCATCACGCAAGGTTAGTTTTATTTCAAACATTATTCTGTCAGCACAGACATTCACATGGACAGTCTGGTGTAATAATAGATTTGTTTCAGGTGTTTTGTGGAGTGGATAAGACTGTTTGTAGTGGCAGGACAACTATGACCATTGACATGCACCAGTCTAGCACCAGCGACCTCTGCAAATACAAGGACTGGAAGGAATATTTTAAAAAGTGTCTCCACACGTCTCCAACACTCTGGCTCACTAGGAAATGAAGTCCTATGTCCAAAATTTCGGACTGTCCCTTTTAAAGTGCATATGAGAGGTTTTCATGTTTTTTCACTCATTACTTTTATCATATCGGTATTTTTATCATAGCAATATTGGTCATAGTTTGACATCAGTTAAGTGACAGATTGTGAGGAAAGAGTTGGGAAGATAAGTAGAAAAATACAGGATGTCATCAGCACCAAAAATATCCATCCAAAATGCAGGGACAGTTTATGTGCAAGAAAGGTTTTTACATTCATGTTGTATCATGTTTGTCCATTAACATGCTCTGTCCCAATCTAATAAATAAATCAAATAAATAAAGGTATCATACGTTCATTTAACAAAATAAAGGCGTTTTATTTGTCTACTCTTTTTTAACTGCTGTTTAGGTTTTGGCCCTTGTTCACATTATAATGATGCGTATAATGATGAGTGAAATGCATTGTCTAAGCTGTCATATGCACTTCAATATTTAGCATCAGTTTAAAGGTGCACTATGTAACATTTCAGTCAGCAACCTGCTTGTTTCCATGGAGAGGTTATTGCCCCACCTGGAATGTTCCACAGTATGGCATTAAACATATCTATCTTGCATTTATCCAGTCACAGGTGTTGTTATTGCTCAGATTCATATTGTGAGCAGGGTCATCTCTCCACAGATCTGACCTGTAACTTGTAATCTGGTAGCGAGAAATACTTGAGACCAGAAAAGTTACATAGTGCATATTTAAATGTCTTGGATACAAAATGTGAAAATGGATGTAGTAGTTTTGACATGGTCACATTTACTTGATTTTGTGACATCAAATATTTTCTTCTACAGGCAACATTCAAAGGCTGGATGGACATTATGTACGCTGCCATAGATTCTAGAAAGGTAAGCATACATTTACATCTGTATTCAAATTAATCGCGCTTCATTGATTTATTTATTTATTTTTTGAAGTCTTAAAAAGGTGAAAAACAGAACTAGATCTTTTTAAACAGTTTGCTGTGGTCCAAAATCCTTATGCATTCAGTGTCCTAATTTTTCACCACAGAGTGTTTCTAGGCGATTCTGATGACTTTCAGAGACCAAAGCTAACAACAATTGGCATGTCAACATGGGTTTGGCAGTAAAACTGTATTACAGTATCCCACGGTATCAAAAAGTAGCAACGGTATCAGTTTCATTACCGTTATTAAAAAATCTGCAGCGCATAAGGCCCTAATATAATATTATAATTTATTCAGTGGGGAGGCATCAGGGCCTTCAAGGCTTTCTCTGCTGACCTAAAAAAATCTCTGTATCACAGACGGATGTTAATTATATTAGTATTAAATAATTCCAAATGGTTTGTCCCCTTCCTTTCAGAGCTTTTCCAATACTTGTGCTGTTTCCACACATATAGTTTCATATTAAAGCATTTGACCAATCACATTTCAGCCATCACTTGTTGCTAGGCAGAGTCAAAGTCAAAGAAAAGTCCCTGAGGCCTTCACAATCCGTTCTGCAGGCCTTCCAACACAAAATAAATGTCTATGAAACTGTTGCTTCGACCAGTCAGATTTTGAGTTGGTGTCATCAGGGCCTTTAGCAGCGAACGACAACGTCACTGGATGTCCCGCTGACTGGACAATCAGAGAGTGAACCAGCCAAAGCAGCAAACTGCATCTGTAAGCAGAACAAGGACTACACCAGGTCTAAACCAGGACTACACCAGGACTAATTTTGGACTTGAGAAAGAGCGAGAGAGTGAGTGAGAGAGAGTCTCCGCAAAGGGCAATTGGGCAACAGCTGCACTGAGCCCTGTGCAGCATGGAGCCCCAGTGCAATCTTTTTCATCTGCGGTCACCAGACAGTCTACGCGGGCGCACCTTCGGGCCAGTCCCGACAAACAGTCCTGGTTTAGTTCTGGTTTAGCACTCCAGCGCTCCTCACTTCTTCTCCTTGCATTTTGGCTTCAGGTGCACATTTGTTTATGTTTTACAGAAACAAAACATAAAAACCGCATGACTCATTTGCATAAACTATAAAGCGCTGATAAAAACAGCTCTTGCGGTTCAGCTTCTGTCGCACTAAAGGACACGACTCAGTGGAATATATGTGTTCTTTTTGTGACAGAGGATGTGCTGCTGATGGTGAGTCTGTTCTGTGCGTGTATTGTGTTGGAGATGGTTCATGTGAAACTTTTCAGAGATTATATGTCTGCAGCAGTGCAGCTTCGTAGTTTACCAAAGTTGTACTAAAATATTTTTGTAATACGGTAATATCCTGAGAAGGTTTAACAGTATCAAAATTTGGATACCGCTCAACCCTTATGTGCACTTCCTGATTATAGAACAATAATCACTTTATAATTAGATGCACACAGCAGTATCAACACTTCTGTTCTGGGGCAAGACACATTTTGCTTAAATACACGAGAAAATGTGGGTACAAGGCCTTTAAGATTAAAAAATAATCTACAGAATGATTTACAATGTTGTTTTGGTATCACAGGTGGAAGACCAACCAATATACGAGGATAACCTGTACATGTACATCTACTTTGTCATCTTCATCATCTTTGGATCCTTCTTCACTCTGAACCTCTTCATCGGTGTCATCATCGACAACTTCAACCAGCAAAAGAAAAAGATAAGACAAGTTTTACTTCACATTTGAGTTTTTACCAGAGTTTATGGTGTTTTTTTATTTTTTATTTGGGTGGTTATCTATCCTGGTAATAAAAAAAAAAAAGTTCAACAATAATATCACATTATTTAAGTCATTTAAGTGGAGCTGTGCAATAAACTGAATTTGAATCAAGCTTGAGATTCAATCATTTCTAATGGTCAGTGATGATCTGGGGATTATTTTAATGGAGAGTTCTATAGACGTTCCCTTAAATGATCAACTAACAACTAAGTCACAAACTCCACAGACAATGTGAATCAAAACAAAACTAAACTGAAAGCTGTTATTTACGTAGCTCTCCAGTTTGTGCAGTGTTTGTGATTGTAACCAGGTTGTATTGTGTCTATACTTTGGAGGTCAGGACATCTTCATGACAGAGGAGCAGAAGAAATACTACAATGCCATGAAAAAGCTTGGCTCCAAGAAACCACAAAAACCAATCCCAAGGCCACAGGTAAGACTGAAATATATTCCTTTAAGTGCACAAAGTTGAAGAGAATGTAAAAGGTGTAGCAAAAAAAAAAAATAATAATCTTTTTCAGTTAAAAGTGAACTGTATAAATGTTCTGATGTGGGGTCAGCCATGTTACTATTTTGGCTGAAATGTTCCACAGTTTAGTATTAAATGTAAATTCATGTGAAAACTGTTTTTATTGCTACTTTAAAAATCTTAAACGTTATTCCCTTGGATCTTTCCTAAATATTTCCACAATAAAATGTATAAATATTAAAAGGCAGTATACGGTGACTTGTGGGTGGAGGTCACGGACAACACATTATTACATAATATTACACGGACACTTCTGTGTTCATAAAGATGGGACTTTGTGTCTCGATGCTAAAGCTAATGCATAATAAATGTTACTTAAGTAATCTACACAGAAAAACATTCAGGTCGTCTTTACTTTAATTCATTTGAATAGGTTATTTACTGTATATTTTAGCTTTGAGACACACTGAGCTAGTGAACATGCTGTGCACAGAGCAGAACCAATGCTCCAAGTAGATCTGGTTCCACACTGTGGAACATTCTTGGTAAAACAATGCAGGTGGTGGACTATCCACTACTGATGTGATGTTTGTAAAAGAGTCAGTTCTTATGAATGGTTCCTTAACATGAACAGTTCAGTTGTGTAGTGCATCATTTTGTTTGGAGTCTGCATCATTTCAAAGGGTAAATGCACTTCCACTGTCATCGTGAACCACTTTAAACAAAGCTGAGCCTTGGTCATTTCTCTCTGTGATTAATTTGTAGGTAAAATTAGTTTTCGCATTGGCTTCTGTCATATAAATGAAGAAAAAACAGTCTTTTGAACAGAAAAGTTACATAGTGCACTTTTACCATTTACAGTGACTGGTCTAATGTTCAACCTCTTTCTTGTTTTTCCTCCAGAACAATATCCAGGGCATGGTGTTTGACTTTGTAACACAGCAGGTTTTTGATATCTCCATCATGATGCTGATCTGCCTGAACATGGTGACAATGATGGTGGAGACGGATGATCAATCAGAGGAGACAGAGAATGTTCTGTACTGGATCAACTTTATCTTTATCGTGGTCTTCACCGGAGAGTTCCTCCTCAAACTGTTCGCTCTGAGGCATTACTACTTCACCAATGGCTGGAACATCTTTGACGTGGTGGTGGTCATCCTCTCCATCGTCGGTAAGAGCTTAGCTAAATAGATGAATACATGGATAGATAGTAAGGACTTAAACGGATACATTTTGAATTTTATTTACTTGCGAGAAGGTTTTTCATGAGATATAGCTAATATGGTCTTAAAAGATCTTCAGATTCAGTGCCAGCAGTGCCACAAAAACTGACAAAATCTGAATATGGCTTTTGCATTTAAAATTAGTTTTTAGGATTTTTAGCTAATTTTAAAATGGGAATAGACCTTTTTGTCGCAATGACTGGAAGTGCCGTGATGATTAATGCCTGTCTATGCCAAAATATCTGTGGAAATGTCTGGCGTATTTTAAACTAGCTTCATAAATCTGCCCCATCACCAAATCCTCAACCAACAAGGTTCACAAAAAATAAACATTCTTCATGAAGAATTTATCCACAACTATCAGTTTTAGAAAGACGAAAAAGTAAAGATGAACAACGACAACGCATTAGTGACACACTGAGTAAAACTAACATTATGGTCATGAATAAAACCTAAGTAATAAGTAATTCCTTAATAAGTAACTTGTTCACTCTGATTCTAGAATTAAAATGTAAATGCTACAGATGTTCACAGATTACATGTCTAGCATTTGAAGTGCACAAATCTATCTACATATACTGATATCTACTGAAATCAAATTTAAATTTTAATTCTAGAATCAGTCTGAGTGAACAAATTACTTATGTTTTATTCATGGCTATAACGTTTGTTTTGCTCAGTAGTTCACTAATATGTCGTCTTTGTTCGCCTTTGCCCTACATCACAACATTCTTGACCGTTGTGAAAAAGGTTTATTGTTAAGAGCCAACAAATGCTTAATCTAAAATCTCTGTCACGATTTTCTTACATCTTTCTCCAATTTTATTTTCTTACTCAGTTATACACGTATTTGAGATCAATATTGTGATTTAAAATGACCAAATTATGATATAATGATCCATGGATATGATAGATTATAACTATTTCAATTTAAAATTTTAAAGTACTGTGCAACCAAGAGCACAGTGTGTCTTCTTGAAGTCAGGCGTTACAGGGAAAATCAGGGAGAACATTGTAACCTTCTACTAACAACACGCTGTTGTTTTCAGGTATGTTCTTGGCTGACCTGATCGAGAAGTACTTTGTATCCCCGACGCTGTTCCGTGTGATCCGATTGGCTCGTATTGGTCGAATCCTGCGTCTTATCAAAGGCGCCAAAGGCATCCGGACACTGCTTTTCGCTTTGATGATGTCACTTCCTGCTCTCTTCAACATCGGCCTGCTCCTCTTCCTGGTCATGTTCATCTTCTCCATATTTGGCATGTCCAACTTCGGATACGTCAAACACGATGCTGGAATCGACGACATGTATAACTTTGAGACATTTGGGAACAGTATGATCATCTTGTTCATGATCACCACCTCCGCTGGCTGGGACGGTCTTCTGCTGCCTATCCTCAACTACCCTCCCGACTGTGACCCGCAGTTTGAAAACGCCGGGACCCCCGCTACCGGAGACTGCGGCAACCCGTCCGTCGGAATCTTCTTCTTCGTCATGTACATTATCATTTCTTTCCTGATCGTCGTCAACATGTACATCGCTATCATCCTGGAGAACTTTAGCGTAGCCACGGAGGAGAGCGCCGATCCACTCAGCGAAGACGATTTCGAAACCTTTTACGAGATCTGGGAGAAGTTTGATCCGGATGCGTCACAGTTTATCAGTTATGCCAAGCTGGAGGACTTTGCGGACGCGCTAGAGCATCCTTTGCGCGTTCCCAAACCGAACACAATCGAACTCATCGCCATGGATATGCCAATGGTGAGTGGTGATCGCATCCACTGCCTAGATATTCTTTTTGCCTTTACCAAACGAGTCCTGGGAGACAGCGGCGAACTGGACATGCTCAGACAACAGATGGAGGAGAGATTTGTAGCGGCCAATCCTTCTAAAGTGTCTTACGAACCGATTACGACAACTTTGAGAAGAAAGCAGGAAGACGTATCCGCTCGGGTCATCCAGAGAGCGTACCGCGCTTATCTAGCGAGGCGCGGCTTCGTATGCAAGCGCAAACCCGTGAAAAACAAGCCCGAAAATGAGGACAATCAAGAGCAAGAGAAGAAAGAGGGAACTCCGTCAACTGCCTCCCTGCCTTCCTACGACAGCGTGACCAAACCCGAAAAGGAGAAGCAGGAAGACAACATGGAGGGCAAAGGCGGGCGCAAGGAGAAAGGCAGAAACCCCAAAGACATCAGGGAATCGAAATGCTAAGAGGATTGACGAATGACACTTATAATAACACTGGAAATTATTAAACTATATTAACTCCAAGCAAGGAAACTCACACAGATGTACAGATTTCATTTGCAAGTCCGAGAAAATAATACTCAAGAAATTTTGTTTACGATTCTTGTATTTATGCAAGGGGGAACGCAACTCGGAACACTCTTTAGCATACTGTGTGGCAATGAGGTTCCTAGACTATTAACTATTAGAGGGATATACCTACTATATAAAGGAATATAGGAGGATTGCTCACTTGCCACTATGTGAATGATCACGCAAGGAGTTTGACGAGGAAAAAAACGAAACGTGAAATGATACGAGTAATGGATTCCTATGGAAGACACCGGCATGCGCGGGGACTTTGGCTGCGTCTTGTCGCCAGCCTGAACCAAGCGGTGCGTTTGAATCGAAGGACAAGTGGTCAGTGAGCGGAGGAGGCAATGGAGAGAGTGAACTTTGAGAGAGATTTTGATTTCGTAGTGCTAGAAGTTAATTTATGCAGCAAAATGCAATGAAAAAAGAACTATCTTCAACTCTGCCCATGTTACTGTTACAGCCATTCGATATTTGTTACACCCACATCCAAGCGCTTTTTTACATGGGCTTTTACACCAATTGGTTTAAAAGGGTCTGTTTAATTTATTATTATTAATGTTGATAATAATAACATAGGGGTCAACTCGGGCCAAGGGCTTAAACCTAACATTTATTCCGAACGGTTTCCAAACATAAATAATTGTGCTTGTTCAAATGCATAGAAATGACTTTGCATGATGGCATGTTTTTGATCAAACGAAAAAAAGAAAAAACTTGCATGAAATTATCATAGTCCACAACAAGACACTAATACTCGAGATTGGGCAAAATTTTGAGGAAGTTGAGAATTTTTGAAGTGTTAAAAAGTGGGTCCGTAACACAAAACATATTTTTTATTTTATTAACACATTTCAAATAACTGTATGCTAAAATGTTGACATAAGAATGAACTATGGAGCAATGGGTAAGATTTAAACAATGATTTGCTGCTTTGAGAATATATATTGTTTGTTTATTTTTGTACGCAATGTAATACCATACCATTTTTGCCTTTAGTTGCTTATAAGGGGCATTGTAGAGGCTTTATAGAGCAGGCTAACTCCATTCGTATGTTTTCTGGTGGTTAACAAAAAGGGCTGCTATAACGACGCTATAACAAATTTAATTGTAATTTTGGAGAGCGCCTTGTTTTATTTTCTGGAACGTTTTTCGGAAGAGGGAAAAAATATGTCCGGAGAAGCCAAAGAGTTCTGCCTTTTTTGGGATTTCGACCATGCAAGACACAGAAGGATACTATAGAATCGTATGCAAATGCTTGAAAATCACCATCCCTTTTTCTCAGGAGATATTAATAGACGAACTATTAAGAAGCTCTGCGACAAAATGCAAGTGAATGTGAAGGGAGATTTCATATATTTTGTGTTTTGTGTCACGATGTTGTTGAAATAGAGGCTGCTGATTCGTCCAGGGGCATTTTCCTGCTTAGAAAATAGGGCTAGAACCATCAACCAAACAACCATTTACATTATAATCGATGTGTTTTAGTTGTATGATTGTAGACAAAATCAGAGAAATTGTAACGCCCCGATATTTAACTGAGCCTCCACGAACCGTTTTTAGCGTAGTTTTATCGATTAACCAAACAAGAGCTTTTGCACTTCCTGTTGTGCGATGATGTCACTTCCTTTGAGCTTCCCGGTCCAGTAGCTGCATGAGTTTTCCGCGTGGGTTTTTGACGAACCAAATCACAAAAACTACTAAAGCAGTTTAACCACACGGAAGACCACACATCCAGCATTTGAGGCGAAACAAAACCACACGCGAACTGCAGAAGCGAAGATCGAACTTTTTAGAAACGATAAATACTGTAAAATATGAGTTTCTTTGACGGCATGTGCGATTTTTGTAAATACAGATTAAGTAAAGCTACAGCTATTATCTAACTCTGATTATTAATGACGTTAGAATGACTTGAACAGATTGTGTGTTTAAAAGCAGGTACTGTGGGTGGCGCGCTTTTTCAGTCACTGTTCATAGGAATGGGGAGCGGGCTAAAATAATCTATCAAAACGAAAGTCGTAATAAATGAAATAAACGAGTACGCACATGTACAGACACTTCACTATATGAGGCCAAACTCCCCCTGAGCACATACTCGGTCCTGACTAGGGCTGTAACTAACGTTTGTTTTGTTCATCGATTATTCTAGCAATTATTATTTCAATGAATCAATTTAGGTCTGCAGCCGACTAAAGATCAGATCAGTTTGTTGACTGAAAGGGAGCGTGGCAAAAGTTCTCAAAACTATTACGTATCTTTGTGTATCTGAGCCAAACTGCACTCACAAGACTAGAGTAAAAGTACTGTAAAAACTACTATGTATGCAGAATGGAATACGAGAAAACTATGTACTGTATTTATATATAGACAGATTGTGAATCATGAGTTTAATCTGATTTTTTTCATATAAATTCCCAAAAATACCAAATCTTCAGAGAACTCGTACAGGAACAGGGTGAAAAGGACCAAAACTGGATTTATTTCAACCTAAATTAAGTGAATATTAGAATGGTAAAGGAGCTACAGCCCGACTGACAATTGCGATTAATCGATTAACTTGTTTCAGCCCTAGTCCTGATTTGGTCCTGGTCTGGTCCTGGTCTAAGTCCTGGTCTAGTCAGGTTCATCCACTGCATGGTGAAGCCTGCCTTGGTGAGAGGATTGCACTACCAGCATACCCTTTTGTACACTGTCTTGGTTCCAAAGCCCTAGTCCTGGTCTAGTCCTCGTCTGGTCCTGGTCTGGTCCCGGTCTGGTCCACAGATGAGGCTAGTCCCTGTTTAAAGCTCCCCTCTGGCACATCTCTGCAGTTTGGACTCTTGTTTTTCATGATTTGTGTCCTGGTGTGTGTTTCTTTACGCTGCACTGTCACATCGGGCACGTGCCTTTAGCTCCTGATCTGTCTGAAAAGGTCAAAGTTGAAAAACGTGTAAAGTAATGTGTGGTGTCATCGCCCGATTTGGAACCGCAACCAATTTGGCACTATTTTTTTGAGATTCGCTCAATCAAATTTACTCTTGGACTGGTATTTCTTTTACTGAAACATCAGTGAAAACTGTCTTTAATCAGTGAATAAAAGTTAGAAAACAGAACTGTGCGGAGTTATCGTCCTAATTTCATAAGTAAAACAGTTAAGTGTGACGATTATGGTCAGATACAATCACTTTTCTAAGAAGAAACTTTGTGAAATTGTCCAACTTTGATACGAATGCATTAAAGCTTAGCAATGGACATGTTTAAAAGAGTTAATTTAAAAAGTTCCAAACTGGGCGGGGTACCAGATCGGGCAATGAAACGTGGACTACCATCTTGCAGGAGTCCTCTGTGTCTCGAGGTCATATTTGGTTTCATTTGGGTTCTTTGTTTTAGCAGTACAGGTGAAGACGGCCATTTTCGTTGCATGGATGAGAGGACTGAGCTGTTGATTTCGCTGTTCACTGGATGTTTTTTTGTGTTCTGCTGCAGTCGGGAGGGAGACTGGGCGATACATGAATCAGAGGAATGTCTTCATTTGAGCACGAACCTATTTCCAACAATAAAGCAGCCTTCCAGTTACCCCAGCGCCTCCTGTGGTCATTCTGTGCACTTTTCAGCATGTGTCTGATATGTTTTGAAGTGGGACTAAACACTAAACCAACTTAGTCCAATGAGGTTTATTTGATTTCTTATAACTTTTATTGTTAGGTTCTTTTTTTCAGACCAAGACTTTGTTTTCATACGTGACAGTTTGTTCTGCTCCCTGTGTTCTTGCTGTGACATGTCGCGCAGATGATTTAAACAGGTTTTGGCGCTGTCTTCCTACCGGTGGAGGCAGGACGACAGCGCCACCTGCAGTCCCACTTCCTCAGGACAGTATCCCAGGTGTGTGAGAGTAAAAAAGCCCCTCATCCCGGTTTCTAATCCCATGGGAACATTTTTGTATTTTGATTACCTCTTTAATCTTTGTTGTCCGCTGTCCCAGTGATGTTTGCTCTGTCCCACTCCAGAATGTGCTTCTCTCTTTAACAGTGGTCAGAAATTTTTGATTTGAGTTGATGAAATGAAAACAAACTCTTGGTCTGAAAAAAGAACCTAATAACACTAAACCAACCTTTTTTTTCACTACTAAACTGTGTATATAGTATGGTGTTCTAATAGCATTATCAATAGTAGTAGTGATAGTCAAAATTGAGAGCCTCTAGTGGCCACGTAGTTGCATTTGTAGTTTAGGTGTGTAGTTGTAGTTGTAGTTTAGTTGTGTAGTTGTAGTTTAGGTATGTAGTTGTAGTTGTAGTTTAGGTGTGTAGTTGTAGTTTAGGTGTGTAGTTGTAGTTGAGGTGTGTAGTTGCAGTTTAGGTGTGTAATTGAGGTGTGTAGTTGTAGTTGAGGTGTGTAGTTGTAGTTGTAGTTTAGGTGTGTAGTTATAGTTTAGGTGTGTAGTTGTAGTTGTAATTTAGTTGTGTAGTTGTAGTTTAGGTGTGTAGTTGTAGTTTAGGTGTGTAGTTGTAGTTGAGGTGTGTAGTTGTAGTTGAGGTGTGTAGTTGTAGTTTAGGTAGTGTAGTTGTAGTTTAGGTGTGTAGTTGTAGTAGTAGTTTAGGTGTGTAGTTGTAGTTTAGGTGTGTAGTTGTAGTTTTGAGTTGTGTAGTTGTAGTTTAGGTGTGTAGTTGTAGTTGTAGTTGAGGTGTGTAGTTGTAGTTTAGGTGTGTAGTTGTAGTTTAGGTGTGTAGTTGTGTAGTTGTAGTTGTGTGTAGTAGTTGTAGTTGAGTTGTGTAGTTGTAGTTTAGGTGTGTAGTTGTAGTTGTAGTTGAGGTGTGTAGTTGTAGTTTAGGTATGTAGTTGTAGTTTAGGTGTGTAGTTGTAGTTTAGGTGTGTAGTTGTAGTTTAGGTGTGTAGTTGTAGTTGAGTTGTGTAGTTGTAGTTTAGGTGTGTAGTTGTAGTTGTAGTTGAGGTGTGTAGTTGTAGTTTAGGTGTGTAGTTGTAGTTTAGGTGTGTAGTTGTAGTTTAGGTGTGTAGTTGTAGTTTAGGTGTGTAGTTGTAGTTGAGGTGTGTAGTTGTAGTTGAAGTATGTAGTTGTAGTTTAGTTGTAGTTGTAGTTTAGGTGTGTAATTGAGGTGTGTAGTTGTAGTTGAAATATGTAGTTGTAGTTTAGTTGTAGTTGTAGTTTACGTGTGTAGTTGTAGTTTAGGTGTGTAGTTGTAGTTTAGGTGTGTAGTTGTAGTTTAGGTGTGTAATTGTAGTTGAGGTGTGTAGTTGTAGTTGAGGTGTGTAGTTGTAGTTTAGGTGTGTAGTTGTAGTTTAGGTGTGTAATTGTAGTTTAGGTGTGTAGTTGTAGTTTAGGTGTGTAGTTGTAGTTTACGTGTGTAATTGTAGTTTAGGTGTGTAGTTGTAGTTTAGGCAGAATTTGAAACAAGTGTCTTATCATTTCACCACATTACTGGAGCCAGATTATGATTTGGATCATGGTTTGTTACATTTACGATTTTTAAGACTCTGTTTTATAATTGTAAAAAACAGAACGAGTTTTTTTGTTGAAAAAGTTTGCGGTGGTCCAAAGTTCTTCCTCACTTCCCTTCTGCATTTAGAGCATCCTCATTACTCACCATGATGACTGTAGAAACACTTTCCACAACAACAGAGACCAGAGCGGAGCTTTTCCATCACAGTAAAGCTAACACTATCATGATAACAATGCACTTCCTGATAATCAGACAATAAAATGCTTTTAATTAGAAGCAAACAGCTTACTTATATTTAAGACAAATTTTCTCAAACATACATGGGAAAAATTGGGTAGATGACCTTTTACAGTCTTCTGCTTCTTCAGAAAGTTCACTTCACTGTGATTGGTTCAATCCTCCTGTCAGTCACTCAGAGCTATATATATATCTATTTCATTCAAAGCAGATGTTCTGTTTTTCTGATTTGACTGTGCACATTCATATGGCTGTTTTTATTTGATTTTGAGTGAATAATATTGTGTTGTGTGTCTTTCCACACAGGAAAAAGTGGAGTGTTCAAATTGACTCTCATTTTCTCTGTGTTCATATGAGTTCTGCTGTTCTAGAGTTAATTTAACATTTTTGGAAATGTTAATTAAGTAACACTGAACCAAAGTTCCTGTTTAACCCCGAAATCAGGATTTAAATTCACATTTTGAGAGTAAACAGAAAACACTTTGTAGGCTTATCCTGATTTAACTAAACAACACACAGAGGAGTGTTATTTTTACACTTTATTTGAGTTAATTTAAGATTAAATTATGTACAAAACTGGTTCAAACTGATCTTCTACTGTGGGAGTTTGAAGTGATGGGTGGGAGGAGCCAAATTAACAATACGGGAAGTTGAATTAACTTCAACCATATCAACTGGCAAATAACCCCAACTCCAACAAACATTTAACTTTCAAATAGTTAAAATATTTTTTTTGTGTGTGTGTTAAAAACAACTCCGAAATATTTTACCCTGAAATGTAAACCCCCCAGTTTTTGCTGTGTATATGTCTTGACCATGAACCCACATGATTTTCTGGAGGAGGTTCACAGTAGTGTCATGAACATCAGCAGCTCGTTTCACTTTGAGGATAATCTGGTTTATTTTAACTTCCATCTTTAACACATCTGACTGTGTCTCGGGGCTGGAAAGACCTGACTGACTTGTGTCTTGTCCAGGGAACATTTTGAAGTGAAGACAAACACCAAACCCAGTCTCACCATTTCCTGATTCCTTAAAGAGGACTGAGTGTGTGACGGGTGTTGAACGCTCTGAACACACTCTCGTCTCGTGTTGATCTTCCTGTTTGTTGTCACGGTTCAGTGTTTGGGTGTGTCCTGGTGCAGCTGTTCT